CCAGAGCAACCCCCAAGACAACGTAAACCATGCCCGCCACGGCGGTCCCGATGCCGAAGAAGAAGGGCGCCGACCTTGCGCCAGAGAGCGAGCGCTTCCTGCGATGCTGCGCCGATGTTGCCAACGCCTTGATTGAAGACCACGAGTCAACCAAGGACGGCAAGGCTGGCCGGGATATCAACCTCAACTCTCTGCGATCCAAGCTGGCCAAGAAGCACAAGCTTGCTAATATCCCTCCCTTGACCGCTATCATCGCCGCCATCCCAGAACATTACAAGAAATACATCCTGCCCAAGTTGATCGCAAAGCCCATTAGTACGACGCCGTCAATGCTTCCACAGCGTGCTACAAACCCGTTCTAACATGCGCACTAGGAACCTCTTCTGGTATCGCTGTCGTTGCCGTCATGTGCAAGCCTCACCGATGTCCTCATATCGCATACACGGGGAACATCTGCGTCTATTGCCCTGGCGGCCCCGACTCCGACTTTGAATACAGCACCCAGTCCTACACTGGCTATGAACCTACCTCGATGCGAGCCATTCGTGCCCGATACGATCCCTTTGAGCAGGCCAGAGGGCGCGTGGACCAGCTCAAGTCGCTGGGCCACTCAGTTGACAAGGTCGAATACATCATCATGGGAGGAACGTTCATGTCGCTGCCCGAATCATACCGAGAGGACTTTATTTCGCAACTTCACAATGCCCTGAGCGGATACCAGACGTCCAAGGTGGATGAAGCCGTCGAGGCTGGCGAGATGAGCAACGTCAAGTGCGTTGGAATCACCATTGAAACACGACCAGACTACTGCCTTCAACCGCACCTTTCAGACATGCTGCGGTATGGTTGTACCAGATTGGAAGTCGGCGTCCAGTCTCTTTATGAGGACGTGGCACGAGACACGAATCGTGGGCACACTGTTGCGGCCGTGGCAGAGACATTCTGCCTCGCCAAGGATGCTGGGTTCAAGGTTGTCAGCCACATGATGCCAGATTTGCCCAACGTGGGCATGGAACGCGACATTGATCAATTCCGCGAATATTTCGAGAACCCAGCCTTTCGAACTGACGGCCTGAAAATCTACCCTACCCTGGTCATTCGAGGGACAGGTTTGTACGAGCTGTGGCGCACTGGAAGATACCAAAACTACACGCCAAACGGACTGATCGACCTCATTGCGAGAATATTTGCACTTATCCCCCCCTGGACCAGAATTTACCGCGTTCAGAGAGATATTCCCATGCCTCTTGTCACCTCTGGCGTGGAGAACGGCAACTTGCGGGAGCTGGCGCTTGCCAGGATGAAGGATTTTGGAACCACCTGCCGAGATGTGCGGACGCGAGAAGTTGGTATCAATGAGGTCAAGAACAAGATTCGACCAAACCAGATTGAGTTGGTTCGCAGAGACTACACTGCGAATGGCGGCTGGGAAACGTTCCTTGCCTACGAAGACCCCAAGCAGGATATTTTGGTGGCTCTGCTGCGTTTGAGAAAATGCACAGAGAAGTACACCTACCGAGAGGAGTTGATAGGTCAGCCTAGCAGCATGGTGCGAGAGCTCCACGTCTACGGAACTGCGGTACCGGTACACGCCCGTGATCCCAGAAAGTTCCAGCACCAAGGTTTCGGCACCCTGCTCATGGAGGAAGCCGAGAGAATTGCTCGTGAGGAGCACGGCAGCGAGAAGATTAGCATCATCTCTGGTGTTGGTGTCCGAAGCTACTACAAGAAACTCGGTTACTGGCTAGATGGTCCCTATATGAGCAAATGGCTAGACGGTCGAGACGAGAATGGCAATCAATAACTTCAGGGTTGACTGTGAAACACGGGTGCAACGATTTATGCATGACTGGCGTATGTTGTGTGGCTTTTGAACATGATGGCGCAAAGGGAGTTGGGACCTCGTCAAAAAATGAGATTTTTCACATTACATGTATACTGGGAACATATCTCTGCAAAGGGCATCAAGCTTGGTCTGGGTGGGCCCCTCCGAAGTTAGATTCAATTCAATACATGTGGGACAACTGCAAGGAGACACCGACTCTATGGATGATGCTCACCGGCTGTTGACGGTGCTGCAGGTGGAGACGCTGCATGCTTTGGGCATTTATGACATTTGACATTTGTTAGCTCTGGGGTTGCGCAATCCAGAAAGTCATCATCGAGGCAGGCACGCTTCCCCGCTCTGAACCAAATGTAACCCGTAAAGTGAAATTCGTGCTGCTCACTCAAACCGCTACTTGTAGAATATCTTGTATTGATTCATGTCATCGGCTGGTCGATTGAACGTACGCCATGACTATTCGAAAAGCACCAATCACGGCCATGGCATCCCATCCAGCAACAACCGGTTCTTGCGCACCTGACGCTGACATGGACATGACTCGTTCAGCCAACAAGAAGATTCCCGATATTTTGGTCAAGCCTTGGAAACTGCCACCTCAGAAAACGTATATCTTCCAAAACGCCAATGTTGTCGACTCTGCCAGCGGCTCTGTACACCAAAAGCAGACAATCAAGCTCGCTCAAGGTGTGATTGCAGCAATTGGCGAGGACATCACTCCCCGTCCTGGGGGACGTCGTCGTTGATGTCTCGGGCAAATACGTCTGCCCTGGGCTCATCGACTGCCACGTTCACCTTACATCCGTCGCCGGCGATGTCAGTTTAATCGGAGGCATTTCAACCTCGGACCCGGCTATATCGTATTTTCGCCAGCCGTTTCTTTGCAACCAAATTCTCAGCCGGGGGTTTACTTCAGTCCGAGACACGGGCGGTGCGACTCTGGCGCTCAAGGAGGCCATCGAGGACGATGTGTTTCCCGGCCCCAGACTCTTCATTTCGAACAAGGCTCTGTCACAGACCGGAGGCCACGGCGACATGCGAGGAGTTCACGACAAACAGAAATGCTGCGGGGGGGATAGCGCGCTGACAACAGTCGTTGATGGCGTGCCTGGTTGTATTCAGGCAACGAGGGAGCAACTTCGCACCGGCGCCGACTTTATCAAGATTATGGCAGGAGGTGGTGTTGCATCGCCAACAGACAAGTTGGAGAATACCCAATTCACGGCAGCTGAGATCCAGGCCATTGCCGAGGTCGCCGACACCTACGGCACATATGTCACTGCTCACGCATACACGCCCAAGGCGATCCGCCACGCCGTGGACAATGGAGTCAAGGGAATCGAGCACGGCAACTTCATCGACGGCGGCAGGCCCGTTATATGGCCAGGAAGGGCATCCGGCTGACACCAACGATCGTAACCTACGACGCCATGGGGTCAGACAAGTACGCCGACTTCCTGCCTCCCGCGAACCGCGCCAAGAACGAGATGGTCCTCAGCAAGGGCCTCGAGTCCCTGCGCATCGCTGAAGAAGCGGGCGTCACCATCTGCCACGGCTCAGACCTCCTTGGTCCGCTGCACGAGGAGCAGAGTAGGGAGTTTGGCATCCGAGCGCAGGCTTTGAGCAGCAAGACGGTCTTGCAGGGTGCCACGGTCAACGCAGCGAAGCTTTTGCGGCAGGACAAGTTCCTGGGCCAGATCAGAAAAGGGTTTGCGGCTGATTTGCTCATTTTGAACGGCAATCCGCTCGACAATGTGGCTATTTTGGATGAACCCGAGAAGACGGTTTTGGCAGTCATCAAGAATGGACGGGTGTATGCCAGTCGATGGGGCCAGTTGCCTCGGGATATTGCCTCAACCCAGAATTTGATTGAGTAACGTCGTCCAACTCCTCAACGGGCTGTGATTCGGATACCTTTGTCATACTATAGGCATCATCCGGCCAAACTATATACTGTGCTACTCCCATGTTACTACATGCCATGCGTCGACCCCGTCCCACAGCCGGGTCCTCGGAGCGATGGGATGTGAAGAAATTGACAGCTTGCGATGCATGGGCCAGATAGAAAGTTCCGCATACTTACCGACGCAAGTGGCCAGGGGTAATTACAAGCCAGAGGTCGTATTGGTCGGGTAATCCTTGGTTATATTGCTCTCCCGCCCGCGTCAACTATTAATTTTCTCTTTGTTACACTCGAGCAAGTCGCTTCTGTTAAGCTCGCTTTGCCTATGGTGGCTTTTTCCTGGGGAGTTGAGCCACTTTGGCCTTGGAGGAGCCCATGCAGCCGGGCAGGCTGTGGGGTTTGATATTAAATAACGAAGGATTATATTGCTAGATCCATCACTGCCACCATGGTGGTGTGCCCTCAATTTCCACCCGACTAGTCCTTGTGCATGGAAAGCAAGGAAGGCTAAAAGCCATTGTTATGGCTTCAGCTCACGTTAGATATTTTCACTTTTCGGGTTGTGATATGCCGTGGTCAACCGGCTCCCGCCTCTCGAGGCCTCGCGTTTGTCCCCTGCTGCCGTTCTATTTGTTTTATTTTTCCCTTCTTTCATGATGGCGTGAAGAATTTGCATACATTATGAAAACTGACGTAAGCTCAGCAAATCGACGCTTCTAAACATAGAACGTACGTGGCTCCGCGAGAAGGTTGTCAAAGTTGGACATGTCGCACACCCATCGATGGATAAGCGCCAAGCAATCGAAGAAAGTCGGCCGCAAGTTTTGATGGCTTATCGTCTCCGCCATGGGATGATAGTCATACTAGAAGTCGCTTGTTAAACTGATGATATTTTACGGTTCGCCGCGCGGTTGCGCCACCGGCGGAAAAATAAAGGCTAATAATCGTATTTCCAGCAATTATTACAGCGATTATGGTGCTATAGGTCTAGATCATGCTGGATCATGCCATGGCTAAGAAAAAAGCACAAGTGACAATGAGGCATATAAGATCAAGATATTTCCCACGAACAACAAGACTGGTAGAGCGGCAGGCCAGACAAAAGCTTCGTCTTCACTGCTTCCTGCATTACAACAACTACCTCCTCTCGAGGCAGTTTAGGATCGAACTTTTCTCATCCTTTGGTACCGGTATCCAGGATGTTGTTCAGGACTGCTCTTGGTTTTGCAGCCATTGCTGCTGCAAGTGTTCCCATTGCCGCGGATGATTATGTCAAGGCTCTCGAGACTAGATGTTTGTGAACACTCCTCCCCCCCTTCGAATACACGAACTCAACTAACTATCGCTAGGGGGCGGTGCTCGTATATCTAACACGGACTTTGCCAACATGAGGTATTACGCCCAGCACTCTGCCGCCGCATACTGCAACATTGGTACCCGTGCCGGCCAGCAAATTACATGCGGAAATAATGCCTGTCCTCTTGTCGCGCAGAACAGGGCCAAGGTGGTGACATCTGTAGTGTGAGTTCCTACATTTCTGATATATAAAGGTAATCTTATTCTAACTCCCCCTAGCGGTGGTCTTACCGGAGCTGGTGCCTATGTAGCCATTGACCACGTCCGCCGGGAAATCGTCGTGTCTATTCGTGGTAGCAATAATATCCGCAACTACATTACCAACCTCATCTTTTCCTGGAGTGATTGCGACTTTACAACAAAATGCCAAGTTCATGCCGGCTTTGCCCAGGCCTGGGACGAGATTAAGGTCGCTGTTAACAAGGCTATTACGCCCGCCACAAGGGGGAAACGTCAATATGCTGTTGTATTTACCGGACACTCCCTCGGAGGGGCTGTAGCAACTCTTGGCGCAGCCTACCTTCGCCGTAGTGGTCTGCACGTCAGGCTCTATACATATGGATCCCCTCGCGTTGGTAACGACCGGTTCGCAAGCTGGTTCTCCAACATACAGGGCGGCCAGTGGCGCGTTACTCACGAAGATGATCCTGTCCCCCGCCTGCCCCCCAGCTTCTCTGGCTACCGCCATATTACCCCAGAGTACTGGCTTTCTGGCGGAAACGGCGGAAACACCTACAAGACGGACTATACCATCGCTAACGTCAAGGTCTGCGAAGGCATCGATAGCACCCAGTGTAACGCAGGTCGCGATGTCACCGATATCAACGCTCATCTATACTACTTTGGTGCCATAGCTTCCTGCGCCCCTTCCTCGTTACAGCTAAGAGATGCCGACGGACAAGATGATCCCTTGCCCAAGGACGTTAGCGAGCGCCTTGCTGATTGGAGTCGAAAAGACCAGGAGTTTGCGAAGAATGAAAATATCTAGGGGGTTGATCATTGGCTTCCTAGGTAGCAAATACCAGGTGTGGCATTCATTTCATTTCTACAACATCGACCTCTTGCGGCTAAGGCTCTTGTATGAGTGGACCAGGAGTCGATACAGGTGCGTGATAATGGCAGGACTGGAGCGCCAACCATGGCCCCTGCCGGTCCCCAAGTTATGCATCCAAAAACCATTCTGTACATCTTGAAATCGCTAGTGAGCCCAGCACGGGAATACAAACGATAAATGACCAGTTAAGCAATCATGCTCAGGCGAAGGTCTGTACTCGTGAAATGGGAGTGACTGTCATTATGGGACCAGTGACGCTGCAGTTGTCTAGGGTAAGCGCGGCTGTTCCGACGCCGCTTCGTAGTTTTTCCAATAATCACAACCTACAAACTTGCATTTCTGGTTGGAAATATCGGCGTTGGTTGCTGTTGCGTACTGAAGCGGGTTGATCAGGTGGTGTTGGGATGTTGTGCGTTGTCGACGGTCAGGTGAAGGTGCCATGCACGTGGCAGGAAAGCTGGGAAGAAAAGAGTATTGTGATTATAAAAAAAGGGTTCAGGACAGTATTATCTTTTATTTTTCTTTTCTACTTTTGTTATCACCCCCTCTCTTTTTATAATATTGCTTACTCTTCCAATACACGGAAAAATCTTTTCTAAAAAAAAAATACACAACGCTCTCGGTATCGAAAGCCGTCGCAACACACGTCAACCTCACACCTCAAGCTCATCGCATAACCCCCTTAGTCATCCGCTTTCCATCTTTAATCTCACCCCGACTTGGCTGCCTCATCACTACCATCAACGCCCCAACAACAAACCTAGCCGTCGGCCGGAAAACCCACTCCCAGATCTGGAAGCCTCCCTCATCCACCATGAGCATGAGCTGCCAGAGCCATGCCCAGCCGCAATGATGCAGCTCCCACGTGGGTGCCGCCGACCTGGTCCCCCGAGCCGTCCATGGGCGTGTTGCCGGTCATCACCAACCCAGAGGACTATCCCGACCGCGCGCCCAGAAGCAACGCTGCAACGGCAGCCTCGGCAGCCGGTGTCCGGGCCTTGAGCGCCCAGCTCGTTGCCTTCTACTTTCGCGCCCCGGCAAAGGCCTTCTTTCGGACCCGCGTGGACTACCTGGCGTATGCGCGGACCGTCCACCACCAGCAGCTCAAGAGCATGTTGGACGCCGTCGCCAAAGATGGCTCGGCTTCGAGAACGAGGGTGTTTCTACGGCATGCCTGGATTTGGATGAGGAGCACGACCCCAGGGGTGCTCACGTCGGCCATCAAACAACAGGGATGGAGCGTCATCCCGCATCAGATTCTTCCGCCTCTCATTGCCAACGTCGGTGTCGGCGCAGTTTTGTACACTAGTTATCTACATATTCTCGGGCACTTGCACGAGGAGAGCGCAAAGGCGACCACGCGCGTCTACCCGCCGCCATCGCCAACGCACACATTCACAGCAGGCTTCCTCGCTGGCGGCCTCCAGAGCGTTCTCGCAGCACCCCTAGATGCGCTCCAAGCGCGGTATGACCATCACGACCTGATGCCCAGCGACGGCAGTAACCGGCCCCGAAGCATGTGGACTTTTGGCGCGGAGAAACTGCGAGAGATTGGCCTCCGGGGCATCTTTGCCGGCTGGGGACTCTCGTTTGCAAAGGACAGCCTGGGCAGCGCCGTCTTCTTCAGCATGTTTGAGTACGTCAAGGCGCAGGGGTACTACCGCTTCGTGACGTGGTACTACGGCGGACTGGGCCAGGACATTGTCGACTTTCTCGCCATGAAGCGGCCGTCGCAGCAGGACCGGGACAGCCAAGTCACCGTCATTCGACCGCACTACGCAATAGAGCCCATGTTTCTATTCATTGCCGGGTTCAGCGCGTCATTTTCGCAGCAGCTTCTCCTCCACCCCTTGACGCACTTCCAGGTCAAACACTGGGACCACTTGGAGGACCTGGATGAAAAGGCCGCCAGGTATAGGGCGGCGAGGGCGGCGAATCCAGACAAGCCCCAGCGACCGTGGAGGATGCTTCGAGCCTACTATCACGCGTACCAGGAAACGTGGGCTGGGTGCACGGCTGAGGCGGCTGCTGAGGGACAGGGCCTGACGAGGTGGTTGTACCGTGGCTTTTGGTGGAACACGATTAGACAGGTTCCGAGCACGAGTGCAGGGTTGATTATTTTCGAATTGATACGGCGCAAGTATGGATATGGGGCGGATGAAGTCCGCATCACAAAGGACGGCTACGACATCTTGCTCAATTAGATTAGACCGGGGGGATCGACTTGGTTGCGTAGACCGTGTATGTGTGAACGTGTTGCCTGGCTTGGGTTGTTGCCCTTGCATGTCTGGGCGACGAGCCGGTTGGCTTGACCTTTTAAATGTATATATGACCTCATCTCGACATATCTGTTCACCAGACATATGCATAGCAAACATGGATACAGCATAACACACTTGCCAAGTACGAAATAACAGTCCCCTCCTGCGCTATGCAATATATACATTATATGTAAGTTACATACTATCGTCGGTGGTGGCAGTAGCGACCTGCCGCATTCTATCTAGTGCTGCTGCTTCGCGGCCCATCATCACCTTTCCATACACATCCACATCCACATCCACATCCACATCCACCTTGACCAGAATTACCACCGCTTGCAAGCCCTGCTTAAGAAGCATACTCACTCGTCTATAGTCCAATGGTGAAATTCTCATCCGCAGCAGCCCTGCTGCTCATCTTGCGGGCCGTCGCCGACCCCAAACCCCAATACCAGCGCCTCCCTTCGCTCCGAGACCAAGCCGCTCTCCAAGATGAATGGACAGCCCAACGTAAAGCCTCCATTCCGAGACTACTACAAAAGCACAAAATAGACGCATGGCTTGTACTTTTCGCCTCCCTCTCGCCTTGCCCTCTCGCCAGGACAAGTCCATGTATAGAGACAGACGTCTAACCTCCCCGCTCACCCCCTCCAGATCAGCCAGCGTGAATACGCCGAAGACACAGTCTTTTGGACCCTCAAATCGGCAACTCAGTTCTCCGCACGTCGCCGGACAACAAGCCTATTCCTTGCATCAACGCCCGACAAGTCTCCAACGGCATATACCTGGATCGACAACACGCCCCGAGTATGGGACGAGCTCAAAGCCCTCCTCGAGAAACACCAACCCTCCAGCATCGCCATCAATGCTCATCCCGAAATCGCATTCTCCAGCGGCCTCCACGCGGGTGAGTACAAAGCCATTTCCACCGCGCTCGGCGAGAAATGGACATCTCGATTCGTCGTCAATCCCCTCCTAGGCGTAGAGTACATCGGCACCCAAATCCCCGCTCGCATTTCCTGGTACCGCAAACTCCAGGAGACGGCGTGGGCCATCATATCTGAGGGCTTCAGCTCGTCCGTCATCACGCCCGGCAAAACCACCACGGCAGACGTAGAATGGTGGATGCGAGACAAGATCCAGTCGCTAAACTACACGACCTGGTTCCAGCCCGATGTGTCCATCGTGTCGGAGGATTCGCCCTGGCCGCAGGACAAGAAGGACGAGCGGGCCATCCAACACGGGGATTACCTGCATGTTGATTTTGGCGTCACGGCCATGGGTATGAACACCGACACGCAGCACTTGGCGTACGTGCTTTTCCCGGGACAAGCGGAGGACCATGTCCCGCAGGGGCTGAAGGATGGTTTGAAAAAGGGCAACAGGCTGCAGGACATGACGAGGAAGCACATGAAGCCCGGCACGACGGGGAATCAGGTCCTCAAGGCGATTAGGGAGGAGATGGCCCAGGAGGGGCTCGAAGGCAAGATTTACTGCCATGCCATTGGGGATTGGGGGCATTCTGCAGGTGCAGTAATTGGTAAGAAGGCTTTCTTCATTCTTTTTCTTTCTTTCTTCTCCCCCCCGCAGCCACTGACGGGATTAGGAATGACCAACTTACAAGACAGCGTCCCCCATATTGGAGACCTTCCTCTCCTAGACCACACTTGGTACAGCGTTGAACTCCTGGCGGATCACTTTGTGCCGGAGCTCAACGCTTCTCTCAAATTTCCACTTGAGGAAGATGTTTACTGGGTTGAAGACGGCAAGGGGTCGGGAAGTTTTGAATGGGTCTATGGACAACAAACCAAATTCCATCTAATCCATACAACTGTGGGTGACAAAAACGGAGCCACAGAGGAGCTTTGAGAATGACCCTGAATAAATCGGTTGCACCTTGTCTTTTGGTGACTATCTTCATCCCGGTTCCTCATACTACTGGCGTCCCTTGCCGCTGCGTACATACCGCCCAACATGTGCGCAACAAAAGAGAAAAAGTGAGTGGCCGTGATGACACACATCTTTCCAAAGGTGAAGGGCAGTCAATACGCAATTGACTGGCCCTCAGCCTCAATTATGTACGATACGCAAAGATGCCGCTTTGAATGGACAACCTGGTAAGATGCTGCCAATCTCTGTTCCCGCCGACCAAGAAGCCGTTCCGAAGCATCGGGCTATACTGAAGAACCAAGCAGGTACGCCTAGGTCAGCAGGTTGTGCAACTCTCCAGAGGTTGGCGTCCAAACATTATCATCACAGTCACGTCAGGCCGTATGAATATCAAGAGCGAGTAATGAACAGAAAAATGTCGTCAATCAAGTCCTACAACCTCCCTGCTTCCTCCCATCGCACACCCTCCGTCCCTTCTGTATACATGCCACAGGTACACCTGTCACCCGATCCCACCCCAACCGTGCAAAAGATCCTTAAACTCCATTTGCAAAAAGAACCCAAAAAAAAGAAGAAAAAAACGAAGAAGGAAAAAAACTACATCCAGATTTGAGGTGTTCTCGCGCATTCGCTACTCGAAGAAGCAGCATGAAAACAATGTCAAGCTGGCCAAGCCTAATGCCAAAATCATCAGCCTCGTCCAGAGGGGCCGCCGGAATCCGCCTGCTGCTCGCGATCTTGATTTTGCTTCTTGTCTTTCCGAGCTTTAATGACAAAGTCGGCCATTATTTGGATGTGATCAGCCGGGAAGTGCCAGTTGGGGAAGGCAGGCATTCTCTTTAGATATTCAGCATCCGGGGGGCCAAGCAGTTCCACAACTTCCAACGTGTTTGTCGAATACCAAATGTAGTCAATGACATCAGCAAACCCGGGTGTGTAGTTGGTGAAGGGCATCTCGTCTGCTGTCTTCTTTGTGTGTGCATATGCATCCCTCAGGCTGAAAGGATGCTCGATACCATCCCGAGTGAAGCTGCCGTACTGGTAGCTGGTCAATTCCAGGTGGTCGGGGGGAACTCTGCCCATGGACATGAGGTCGTACACAGATGAGCCCTCGGTTGAGTTGAAGTCACCACACACTAGGAGCGGTATATCGGTGTTGGTCCGGTACTCTTGGCTTGGACCAGGTTCTGCTTGTGGCTCTGGAGCCTCGGCATCATCTGGCAGAGGTACTGTGATCATCTTTTTGTCCTTGACCGCTGGCCACCTGGCATACTTCTCGGCCAGCTTGGTAACGTGCTCCATGAGGATACCGGTCTGAATGACCTTGACATCTGCCAGAGCAGAGTCCCACGTAAGATGCACATTGACCAGGATAATACGAGCTCCAGTGAGGCGGGATTCAAAGAAGCAGATGACGGCAATATTGTCCTTCGGCATTACTCTGTTGAACACGTCGTGCTGGTTCTTCATATCAGGTCGGTTGATGGCGATGCTGGCAAACTCGATAAGTTGCTTATCCAGCAGGATATACTTGCTTTGCTTGTAGAAGACTGCGCATCCGTCTACCGTCTGGGCATCCTTCTCCGACATGGTCTTGGCGCGCGACTTGGGCCAATGGACACCCTTGTAATCCATCTGCGCCAGCTCAGGGCTCAGGTCCTCCTTGAAAGCATCTGTCGATACCTCCTGCAAGCTCAAGAAATCGGCATCTCTCAATCGCAGCTCATCCAAAATACAACTCTTGCGATATTCCCAGTTCAACGCATTCGTAGGCGTATAGCCATATGTTTGCGGGGTGGCATATTTATCGCATAGCACATTCCAGGAGAATACCTTGATTCTTTCCAGGTTCGGAGAAACGTCCTCTTGTACGATGATTTCCTTTCGAGGAGACGGGGGTTCGGGAACTAATCAGAACAGGCTCTCGTTAGTATTTCAAAAAAAAAAAAAAAAAAAAAAAAAAAAAAAAAAAAAAAAAAAAAAAAAAAAAAAAAAAAAAAAAAAAAAAAAAAAAAAAAAAAAAAAAAAAAAAAAAAAAAAAAAAAAAAAGAGCTCTGCATCAATTTTTGTCATCTTGTCCATGAGAAAAATGGACGGCATCATACATACCTGGTGCTCCCTCTTTCAGCGCATTAATCACACTCTTTGTGCCCTTTTCCATGATCTCTTGCTTCCAGCCAGGGTCCAGGGGATTCCCCTCAATTCCCAGCATTTCCAACTGGTGGAGCGAGCCGAGTTCGAACGGAAGATCTCGGATTTCATTGTTAAAAAGTAGTAGGGTCTTGAGGTATGTACACATGCCGAGTTCGGCCGGCAGCTCGGTTATTTGGTTGTACGAAGCGTCGAGATGGCGCAGCTGCCTTAGCTCACCGATAAGCTTGGGAAGTCGGACGAGCTTGTTCGAGGCTATGAAGAGCTCGTTCAAAAATTTGTACTGAAACAGCTCAGGTGCTAGATTTCGAAGGCCTTGACCAGACATGTCCATGTTGTGCCAATCTTGTCGGTTGGATTCCTTGTCGACCACGTACGGGCGTCTCCGGTCCTCGGGATCGTTCTCTCCGTCTGCTTGGGTCCGTCCGCTCGCAGGAGGCGGACCCCCGATGCCTCTGTTTTCAGACGCCTTTAGCCTCGCGTAGTAGTGAGGCTGCTGCTGGTCGGTCATGGCAGAATGGGCTCGCTCCGCCTCCTTCTGCATACGCAACTGTTCCTGCCACATCTCGTTCTGGGATGCTTGGCCGCCGCCGCTTCGCTGGTTGGCTGCGTGTCCGTTTGACAAGACACTGGAGCTGAAGGCGTTGGGGGTCGAGAGGCCGCTAGACCCAAAGGACGTGTGGTGGGCGAGGCCGTTCGCTGAGGGCATCCCGTGATCATGCTGAAGGCCTTGGTGGTGCTGGGGCTGGGTTTGATGCTGATGCTGAGTGTGCTGTTGAAAGCTGTAGAGCATATTCGGCATTCCTCGACCCGCCCCATTCAGCCGGGTATTGTGCCCCTGCTGATGGTTTTGGGAGTACATGCCGTCGAGGGAGTTCCCAGCAGACAAGGTGCAAGTCAAGTGTATTGGCCTAGGGCTTGCCGGTGCACGACGCGGCAGCGAGTACTGGTCTGCTTTGCAGTGCCAGCTTTTTGTGTTAGCGAAAGGATATATATGTCGATTCACCGAGGCTCAGCCGCGACAGCATCGGTGTTTTGATCGGGAGCTGTTGGTGCGAGGGTTCTAAAGCTACTGGGGGGTTGTCGAACAGTAGGGTGGTTTTTCGGTAGCCGTCCGCGTGTTGATGAGAAGAGAGGGTGGGATATGAGGCTCGCGTTTGCGCATGGGCTCGGGTAAGCCAGGACTTTTGCATATGCCGCCGTGAGAGCCCAGAGCTGTTGTGTGTGTCGCGCGCTGGCGCTCAATGCCACATCGGAGGTGGAATAGGAGGAGGAGGTTGGTGGAGTCGCGATGGGATGCTTAGGTCGGCGAGGTCGAGATGTTTTTTTTATTAATTTTTTTTTTGGGCCCAGATGCTAACGTCGAGTCGCCAAGCGCGATGAGTGGTGAGAAGCCCCAATCCTCAGCTGTTTGTTCAGTTTGGGAGTATGCTGTGACAATGGGAGAGAAACAGTTAGCTTGACTTGCCCTTTGAGGGTCATGACACGAAGCCAGGTTTAGGATCCGGCAGCTCAACAAACCCCTGCAACATGATATGGGAAGGCACATACAATAACGATTGGATGGGATGACGTGCTATAATCATTGAATAACCCAACAGATACTTTGGCAGAATAATAGTGGTCGATATCGAAGCGATAACCCAAGATCGTCGTTCTCTCGTTTGATGCTGGATGGCACCGGCGACAATCTGCGTTGGAGCAGCCGTTGGCCTGGTCACGTGCAGCGTCAGGACCGCAGGGGGGCCGTGCGTCGAGTCAGCCAAGGTCACGTGTGAGTTGATGATGGGTGCTTAAAAGGGAGATCGGTTTGATCTGGGAGATGGACGGCATTTCTTGTTGCATGACTACAAATCTTTCAGGAAAATCGTGCAACGGGCGTTTGCGTTGATTGACAAAAGATCGCAACGCTCATTAGCGACACATCTGCAATGACGTCTACATCCAATAAGCTGCATGGCAGGAACAGCAGTTAGCATGAACAACTTGGCATGATATCCCTGCGCTCTGGGCCCGGCCGGAACATCAAAACGACAGCACTCTGACAAAAGTATTCACAATGCCTTGATCGGACAGTGGCAGTACGGCTTTCCGGCTAAGCAAGCACATCAAAAGCCAGCAGATTGTTTTGAACATGTGCGGATTTCCAGTTCCAAGCTCGTGCCCAGCTTGACATCTTGGCAGCAGCTCGAGATTGGCGAGAAGACGGATGTGACCCGGCCAACATGTGAACTTGGCCAGATCAAGGGGCCTTGGCATTGGAACAAGTTGATGACTAGAAGCTTGAGCCTCGTCCATGCACAAGCGTGTTTTCAAGCTAACTACTACAACCAACCTTTGGGTGTTGTGCACCCCGACCTTGAGAGGCGGATCCAGCACAGACAATAATGCTGAATACTCCATGTCGAGTCGAGTACATTCATACTTTGATTGATCAACACTGAATTCGCATGCACCCGGGGCTCAAGACCCTCAGCACATGTATAGAATCGGCTTCATTGCGAGGATCGAGTCCCAGTTATTGGGCATCAGCTTCTTAGGCGTCTACTTGGGGCTGACGAAGAGGATAAAGTGCAGCTCCTTGTGCAGAGTTAGACGAATGAAGGAAAATGAGCTCCGACAGCACAACTTACAAGGCTCCAATTGTCTCCTCTCTGCTTGGTCTCAGTACGATTCTGGCCCAGCCACTGCAACCCCCCAGAGGTCCAATATGCACCAACGATGAGTCGCGATAGCAGGCTGAGGCGTGTAATGATGGCTATTCAAGCGCAATGAATGACAATCATGAATGTGAGTTTTAGATTTTGCACCAACTAGCGCTTGACCAGCGCCGCTATTTCTTCTACTCTTGTCTTCTTCTCCTTTTTTTTTATTCTTTGTGCGCGAGGTTCCAGACCCCGTCAATTGACATTTGCGCATGTATAACTCTGTGCTCCAACGCAAGACGCACAAGACGCGACATTTTATATAAAGCATAATAGTTTGTTCATTCATCAACCCCACCATCAGTGGTAATGACTTGGCCCTCGTATCACAGTGTAGTGAGTGTCACCCGTAATGACAAGCTCGTCTGTTCGATCCAGGCCGCGGGCAAATAACAGTTGTTCTGGTTTTGCCGGCATTTCCATTCAGTTGGAACAGTTTTCAAAATGGAGCATAAAGGCTCCGTTTATACTAGTACTACTGTCTTTTTGCCGGTTAAGAACGCGGAACAGCTTTCGTGGGGTTGGCAAAGCTTCAACCAATACTACCACAGCTGGTGCCCCACTTTTCGAGGCTCCTTTGCGGCAAGCTCACATGAAAGTGCCACACAGTAGTTGCCCCTGAACTAAAACAACTTGGAAGTCAGCAACGCCCACCATTCAGGTAGTCTCCTTTATTATCTCACCCAGACGTTCTTGTCCAAGTCTACCATCGCGGCTGCTTTCTTAGACCGCCCGGCAACACCGAGCACCCGGTTCCGCAGAGACCCTGGCTTCTTGAATTGGTCCAGCTTCTCTTACAAGGCGAGCATCCTCTTGATCCACCACTGTGGGAAGTGGTTGGTTGAGTCTGGTCAACGGTGGGAATAGGCACGCTATAGTTACGCTTGGACCGCGACGGATCCGTGACCTCTGGCGAAGCCTTTTTGATTCTTTGTTGTACATACGGCTCAACGGGCAAGCAGACCCCTGCACTAAGATACCGGGTCGCCCTTTGACGAGGACTCCACGAGGTAGCCAATCTCGGCCGAGCCCATGAGTTTCAAAGTTGTATTTCTCAACGCGGCCGGCATGACGCCTGTGCCGATGCCTGGCCAGCATCAGACGTCTCGACTACCCAAGAAACAACCGCGTCACTCAAAGCCAGGCCAAGTATCTCGTCGCTCGGGCTCAGCGTCGCCTCCGAACCGTCACAACCCCCATGCCAATCGTCGCTCAGGCCACTCGCGCACGTCGAGCGGGAGCCGGGCGAGTTGCTCTTGTTCTCACGAAACCGCCCTGGTAGCGGACCGCCCCGCTGTGGCCGCGGGGCACAACTACTCAGCCGCCAACTTGGCCAACTCTACCAACTCTCGGACGCACCGCTCGTTTCATCCACCATCGGCCTTCATTTCCTTGTCAACATCCTTCGTCGGTGCTTCCACCAAGTCCAGCTCTCTCAACCCGCCCCGCCATCGCCATCGCCATCGGCATACAGCAGATGGTCCGCATGGAGTCGACGTAAGCAATGCTTCTCCTCCTCCTCCTCCTCCTCCTCCTCTCAGCCTGCGCTCCGTGCCAGATACTTCATCTCGCCTCCTAACAATCGCCCGCAGATGAACATCTCCGCCCTCAGTGCTGAGTCGGTATCATCCGCCAGCGGCACGACATCCCTCTCGGCCCGCACCACCATGACCTCGGACAACCAGGGGCCGGGAGATAATTTGTTGTCGTCGAGGCCATTTATCCAGCGAAATGGCCGGACGTACCTCAACGACACCTCCCTTCCGTACCCCCTACCGTCAGACCTAACCGAGCTGCACCGCCAGTCGCTGCGAACGCTCCTCCTCATTCAGCTGTTCGGGGCTCCAGTATGCTCACCTGCTCTCACCAAGAAGCCTCCACAGCGCGTGCTTGAGGTTGGGTGCGGCTCTGGATTTTGGAGCATGATGTGCCACAGATACTTCAAGGAGAGGGGCCACGGCAGCATCTGTTTCACCGGTATTGACGTTGCCCCCCTTTCGCCAGGAAGCGCCAACCTGACAGAGGATGCCACGCAACCCGATCCAGATATGCGGTGGAAATTTGTCAATCACGACCTTCGCCAATTGCCTTGGCCAGTGCCGTCAGAAGAGTACGATTTGGTCATGGTCAAGGATATGAGTCTGGCCATGACCAACGCACAAAATCAGCTCTTCATTGACGAATACTTGCGATTACTACGACCGGGGGGCACGCTGGAAATTTGGGAGTCTGATCATCTTATTCGCATGCTCAGGCCGCACGTGCCTGGGTCCGCTGCTACCGCCGACGATGCGGAGGAGCAAGAAGCCGCTTCGAGCCTCGGCGCATACGTCATGTCCTCCAACACGCCGCTATCCGCGCCTCTCAACAATTTTCTCGTCGAGTACAACACTTGGCTGACGCGGGCTCTTGAGAATCGTGACCTCAGTGCCGTGCCGTGTACTTTGATACAACCCATACTCCTTCAAGAATCTGAGACCGTCACAGATGTCAAGTCAAGGCGACTAGCAATCCCCTTGAGTGAAGTGCGCTGGGAACGTGAGGGCGTCGGCGGCGTCGTGACTCGAGATGGCAAGCAAACGGGGGAAGGGAGAGGAAAGGACCAGAAGCCAGAGCGCACGCTGACGGCGGGCCAGATTGCTCTACGAAAAACGGCACTGTTAACTGTTGTCCAACAAGTGCAGGCACTTGAGCCAATCTTGAGGGAAGTGAGTGGGAAGAGCCAGGATGAGTGGGATGTGTGGTTGGGCAAAATGATGAGTGATTTAATGAGCGAGAGCGGCGCAAGCTGGGGGGAGTGTCTCGAGGTTGGGGCGTGGTGGGCAAGGAAGAGGAAGAGAGGCCAAGATTTGTGAAATTGGAGGGAAACGAGCGGAAGAAAAGAGTAATGTGGCATCCATGTCGGCATGCCTTGTAAGCAGGGGTTACAACGTTTCCTTTTTTTTTGTTTTTTTTTTTCTTTTTCCAGCGGCACCGGCACGCCATGTAGGGATATGGGGATATTTTGGCCAATTATTTCGTGTTCCAGCTTTTTTTGTCTTGGACAATGAACCATTTCAACCAGCGAGGCGCCTGAAGTTCGTTTTGGATTAACTGATGATGAGCAACGTCTTTTTTTTAATTCTTTTTCTCAGGTGTCGATAGCACTTAGAGTCTAAGATGGGACTCGCCATATATATACTTTGATTTCTATCATGTGCTATACAATCTCAAGGATCAATTATGCGTCTACATCATACCGCTTCCTCAGTGTGCGGTACCGCTTGAGGTAATACCTATACGCGTGCCTCGTCAGCGGAATCATACATTGGCCGTGAAAGCATTCCTTTCATGGAGACCAAAAAGCCCCGGAGCAGCGAATATTATATATCCGAGGGCGTAGATAAAAACCAGAGACCTCACGGATGTGGTAGGATAGAACTTGAACTGAAACGAGGACGGAGCTTACAATGCCTCTATTTCTATCCATTAAAAAAAGTCAGCCGCGGTGTTATCGAAGAGACGAAAATAGAAAAAAAAAAGGGGCGGGGTGCGGCCAATAGACGCACCTTTTTTAACGTATTCCGCTTGTGCAATGCCAGCCCGAATCTTGTCCGCGTTGCGCTCAGCGGCGCGAGACATGAATGCCTTGTGTAGGCGCGGCTGAAAATACCGGTATCCCAGGGGGTATTCCCTGCCAAGATATAACAGCTCTGTGGAGATCAATCAGTCAGTTGCATCTTCAGTTTTGCTCATAATGACACGGCGTGTATTCCATCTTGTAGCCCCGGGGGTGTTGGCGCCGAGTCTCGTGCACGAAACTGTTCTCCTGCACCGCCGTCCATAGACGAGCCGGTAGGGGGCATACGTACCCTTGTAGATGTTAATTACTTGCCTTCTCAACTCGGGATTAGGCTGCGCCATGTCGTTATGTATGCACCGGGCAGCGCATACCGTTTCCCAGCGCAGACAGGCGGATGATGTATGATGTAGTGGTGAAGCCCCAAGTATCAATTGATGTAGTGCTAATAGCTGGAAAGTGCGGGGGGAGGGCAGTCGGAAGCAGCTGCAAGGCTACGTCGACCCCCACAATTTCCGGGACCCACGCCTTCTACTATCACGACATCCATCTCCAAGGACATGGCCGGGCTGTTGCTGTTGCTGCGCATCTCGTACAAGAGGCAGCTGGGCTTCTAGGGGGGCCATCATGTCCAAGACACGCCTCGCGCCGGCTCTACAGGTCTTCCAGACGCTGCAGCGATACCCCGTCATCCGACCACGGCGCCTGCCCGACGTGCCTATAGGGTGTGCGTCGCGCGTCTCGGCGCAGGCCGCCCGGCAAAGCATGCTTAGTTTATATCACGACCTGGGCGTCCTCGTGTTTGCGGGCTGCAGTGCTGCGCAGACGGAGAGAATCGGCGACATATTGCGCCAGGTTGTGCGCTGGGGAGGGCCGGGCGGCGCGGTGACGAGACTGTCGTGGACGGCGGTCGATGGGCCGGAGAGGGTGGATGGGTTGACCGCAGAAGATTTCCACGAGGGTCCGGATGAGGCAAATGTGAGGCCCCCCCCCCCCTTTCTCTGACGACGAATTTCAGCGAGAGACGGGTGGGCTGAGTGCGTGTAGGCGGGTCGGATCAAGCCAGATGCGATACTGAAGCTGGCCTCTTGTCGTTTGCAACAGCTGTTGCGGAAACAAGTCGACAGAGCACCCGGACAGGGAAGGGCTCATTTGCAGGAGGTGCAGGTTGTTGTTCCGGGGCTGCCTGCGCCCAGAGGCACGATATTGGTACGTCTTTTGTCTTTTGAAGCCTTTGACCGGTACTGCGGCCCAACTGACGTTTGTAGCCTGCGGAAACCGGGCCTCGGCAGCTACAAGTCGTTTCGTACGCAATGGTGGGCGTCGACGGTGACGGCGGCCATGCTACAGGGGAGATGTCTCTCTTCACAGTCGGAACAGGAGACTACGTTGGCAGCGCGAGGATAGATTACAGGCTTGTGCAGTCTGATGAGGGAGGGGGAAGGGCGGTCCCGCTGTTGGGACATGGCGGGCTGGGCAAGAGGAGCGGCTTGGGTACGCAGGGTCTGGAGGAGAGATTGGACGAGGCTACGGGTCTGTTGGAGAAGTTGTGGGAGCTGGAGAGGGAGGTTTGGGCACATAGAGCAGCGGAGTATGAGTAGTTTGGCTTCTGGCAGATTGTACGGAGTATTTGTGGTGTGGATAGACCCTGCGTGGTGAGGTGTAAGAGGCACGTGGGTATAAACGACGCAGTTAGGATAGTCCATTGTAATCGAAGATGGCACAATTGGCAACTCGGATAACGCAAGGGATTTTCTTGGGTTGAATACGCCCAATTTAGTCTTTGGCCGGACAATGCCCGCCATCATGGTTAGTATCTGGGACAGGCAGCGGGCGTTGCCAATCATGGGCCGGAGTGGCAGGTGAGATGGATGGATGTTTCATGAAGGCGCTCGAGGATAGGTGAAAGAGTCGCAAGAATGCCATAGCCCGCCCAGCCAATGCAGGCCTCCCAGCACGTACATGTAATATTGGAACATTGGAAGCATTCGACGTCTTCTCCACGGCGGTCCTATCACCGGGTTCGCCCGCACACCACACCACGACACCAACACGGCATGTAGCTGGCAGTGGCAACAAAAAGGTGGTGGGCACATCATATTCCAATTTCCAAGTGCCGAAGCGGGGATTTCCTCAAAACCCAAATGTGGAGTAGGAAGGCATTCACAGCTCTGGTCCAGTATCCAATGCGATTGTTGAGCGTCCAATGCCCTGGGTATGGCTTGCGGGTGACATGAACTGCAGTATATCCCGCACGTGACGCACCAGAAGACCATGATGAGCGCGATATTTGGGCATTTGAGCGGTCAGCCTGGTGAGGGGGGCCCCCCCAAGAGACCACGAGGGATGCAGAAATTTTCGGCGAGTCGACGAGTCGGACGATGGACGGCTCCAGAGGCAGAAGCTTGCTTAGTGACGACTTGTGCACACCTTGTGCGCCAAACCAGCCAGAGTCGGCAAGCCACAGGACGGAAATATCTTCCCCGCCCGCCAGCGTCCGGCCGAGAAGCGGCACTGGGGGTTTGTAGGGTACAACGGCACCATTGGCCGGGTTTCGGTCTGTTGGGGGTTTGGGTCGGATCGATGACTCTTTTGGCCTTGCCGAAGCTCAAAGTGAATGCTGAAGCTGAAATCCGCAATGTCTGGCGATTTCAAGGGTGGACCTCGGCCGGGGGCCCGCCAGCGTGCAGATTTGTTCAGATGAATTGACAATGAGGTAGGCGAACAGGGTTGCATTGCATCAATTGATGACCTTGGCCCTTCTGAAGATGCATATGGTCGCCCTCGCTGGCTCAGAAAGGGCGTCTTGAGAGTCCGCCTTGTGTTCCAAAGATGGTTGTTTCAGAGTCAAAAATTGACCCCAGAACTGTGTTGCACTAATGAGCTTGGGCGAGGCAAAAAAAAAAAAGAAATAAATGATTTACTAATAATTTAACTCCGTCGAGCAAGACAAAGCCGACTGGACTAACTGGTTTGGCATCTGGGGAAGAAAACACTTGAAGCCACTCCGGCTGTGTCGGGCAGCAAAAGCTTAAACGACGCCACGGTTCTCCATGGCTGCCGCGTGTTTGGCAGCATAGCATGTCGTCTGTGGTTGATGACGCGGTCTATATATGTTTTGAAACACTCTGCTTCGTTCGTATACTCGTGCCCATGTGTGCTGCCGACACTGACCCAGCAACATTTGCAAGCACATGTAGAAGCATTGAGACTCCAGCATTTGAGGACCATCATGTAGATCGTTTGCGATGCTCGAGTGTCTCACCATTCCAACGAGGGCGTATTGAATGCCAGACGCTCCAGCTATCCCTGCAAAAGCTGCAAGTTGGGCCGAATACTGGGTGACAGAGGCATATCGAGTGCCTGCTTGAAGGCCAACATGGCAGCCTTGGGCGCCGCCTAACGCACCTCCGCACATTCAAAGGGATGCGCGCAATGACTGAATGGCGCCACCGTTGACTGTAATTGCCGCAATGAGCTTATAATAGCGCAGCGGCTGGAGCTTCAGTCAACCAGCGTCTTGGCACAGAGATGGTTGCCAGATCCGATGCCAGATTCGCACGCTCAAGCTGGTGCCATGACCAACCGAGCCAAGGGATGGGGACTTGCATCTTGTCAACTGTCTGGTCTGGTTCAATGTTCTGATGTCCCTAGCTCCATAGGTACCTAGTAGGTACATGCCAGGCCTCTGGTGCCGTCTGGTCGTCCCACATGCGCCAGACATAAGCATTGGCAGGCCGTTGGCCTAGCACTGCCTTCGTTACCAACGTTGGCGGGCCCAAGTGCCAAAGCGGCTCAAGTCTAGTGCTGGTGCAAGTGCTGACTTGCTCGCCTGCCCCGGCCTGCCTTAGCGCCAATTCTCAACTGGACTGGCAACTGGGTCAACTGTAGTGCCAGCAACTGGCCCACTGGCCCACCTGTCTCGTCCACTGCGCTGGTCTCAGCATCCCACCAGACCCGTGCCCTGTGCCGCGCTCCAGCGCTCCAGCGCTGCTCCCTGCCCGTTCCGTTATTGTTTCCATGTACATACGCGCTTGAGGCACCCTGTCCCTTGCTCCATGTGAACAACCGTCCTGCCGTCCAAAAACTGGAACCCGGCTATGTCTGGAAGCAATGAATGGCCCATCCAGCCTATCTTTTTATTTTTTTTTTTCACTTGTTTCTTCGTCTCACTGCCGAGCCGAAAATCTCACTTCTACCCGCCACCCGTTGTCTCCCTCAACCAAAGACATCATCAACCTTTTTGTTTGCTGGTGTCTTGATCGCCTCGCTTTCCGCCAGCATTACTCCGTACGATTCTACCGTTTCCGGCCCCTTCCCGTGGCACACGGGACATTGTTTTTATTTCTACCGGCCGGCCCTCTTGTATCCCTTTACATCCCACGCTTGCGCACGTTATAAATAAGCTCACCAGGCGTCCTTGCGCACCCTGGCACATCCACGAATCGAAATCGAAGCGATCGAACCCGCCCTTGCCCTGCCCGCCAGAAAAAAAAACCACCACGAGCAGCCGCAAAAGCTGTTTCTTTTTCTCCTCCACATCTACATATTGCAATCGGGTCACGACGGTCAATACTTTTTTTTTGGTTGAAAACTCATTCTCTTCCTGCTGTCTTTGTGTCTGCCCGCCGTGCCCTTGACCAAGGTTGCTGCGCAGCAGGACACGTGAAGGACCAACTCCAAGAAGCTCTCGCATGCCTCGAGCGTCCGGCCCGGGCAAGCGACAACAAGGCGCCTCTTCAGGCCACCGCGATTCGAGGCACGACAATGGGCTTGTGAGCCCAGCAAAGCGCAACGCTGGTAGAAAGAGTCATGGCCACCAACTCGACGGCTCTGCGAGGACCCCCGACCACAGCGCAGGCCACGCAGGGCCGTCACCATCGCTGCCTATCCTTCCCTTGCATGCCACCGCCCATCCCCATGGATCGTCGTCCAAGAACAACTCTGATGCCGCCGTCGACCGCTCCGCTGATTATATGAGAAGGGACTCGCTAGGTACCTACTCCGAAACCTCGTCCGACTCGTGCCCATCCCAGGCCGGCGCCAACGGCAACGCCCTGATCGAACCAGGCCACCGCCAGATCGACCTCAGTGCCATGAAAAATGTCGACGTCCACAAGGATTCAGGCCCGCTGGACATGGCCGTCACTGTCGTCAAGTCCCTGCCAATGCAGGACACTCTGGCCATTCTCATCATCCTCATGCACGTCCCGCACTTGTCTCTGTCTCTCATCTACGCCTTTTTCGCCTTGGTCACCTTTGTGCCCCCTGTTACCACGAGGACTGGCATGAATATCAATCTGGCCGAGATCCTGGACAGCCACTCCCATACTGTGAATTTCGTCACTCTACTGTGCATCGACTTCTTCTTCTTTTTGATATGGGTGTTTTTGTGGCAGCCCATTCAGGACGGTATCCTCGAATTCGCAAAACCAGTCATTGCCATCACTCTCGGGGGCGGTACCAATGCGAAAGACGGCACCTCCAGAGGTGTCACCACGTGTTTTACTTGGATATTGCTTCATCAGATTATCCGTGCCACCAGGTCCCACTGGGCAAAATTGGCCCGACACCTTCCAGAGAACTGGCCTTTGCCTACGTTGCTCACCCAGTCATTCGAACCCAAGTCTGTGGCGTATGATAAGAGGAGCACCCACGGATGGATTCAGAGTATATTGGCAATGCATATTCTCACACAGGGCATTGTTCGATATGTGCGCGAATGGTACTTGAAACGCGAAAAGTACAATGCGGCATCCGGCTTGAGCGACCCTGAAGCCGGAAAGTCGTCGTCCCTCGGCAACTCCTCTGCGTCGCTTGGCGGCGGTCACCAGAATAGCTCCCAATCGTTGGAATCCAGCAACGACGCCGGCCTGGCAGGAGCAGATGCCGAGGCCGGCGTGCCTCACCCCCCCACCGCGATAAACTTGACCACGACAAAGAAGCGGCGGAAGCAAAACGCCCAAGTCCGTTTGCAACAGCCGTTATGGGCCGCCGTCGCCAGCACCAAGATTGTGGTTATGAAGGAAATGGAATTGTCAAAGTCGGTCCGGCCGGACGGAATTGTCAACATACACACCAACGAAGGCACAACGTTTGAAAAAAAGGACAGGCAAATATGGATATCGTACATTGGCAGTGACGAGGTATGCTTTAACACGAGTTATTTTCCCGATTTTAAAACAGACATACCGCAGGAACCGATGAAGTCCAACGGGCACGTCAAGACAACGCGGCCGTCCGGGGTAGATTCATCTAAACCATTTTACGTAAGGATAAACAATGCTTTTTGGCAACCTACCCGCATATTTCCAATTGACGAGGTGGAGGAGGAGGACGATGAAGGCAAGGACGACAAGGATGGCAAGCGTGGCAAGCGCATTCGGTGGACAGGCGACATATATGGACTGCGACCAGCGTCCAAATATGTCTGCGAGTTTGTCGACGTGGAAACTGGCGCCGTCATCTTTTCCACAAGCATACGCACCGTCAAGGAAACTCTGCGAGAAGACGACCCGATATCGCCGGTATTCCCCCCAAGCCAGCAGCCTCTTCGACCGGACTCGCCGGCAACGATTCTGCGAACGTCCATTGCGGCCTCGGAGGCGAAGCTCGCCGAAGAAAAGTCTCGCCTCAGGACTTTGCGCAAGGATCTGAAAACAAAGATCAATGCCGTGAGAAAGGAGAATGAACTTGTCGACAACCAGCTCTCCTCGGCAGGCAGCAGCGACGAAAAACACAGGCAGAAAATTCGTCAGCAAGAGACTCAAAAGGCCCAAGCGGAACGCGATACTGAATCATTGACAGAGGAGCTCAAGAATTTCGACACGGCACCGGAACTCTCGGAACGCAAGAAGAAGATGGAAAGGGCGTATGCATCCGAGAAGAAGACATTTGATGCCGAGCAAAAGGAGTTCAAGAGGCACAAGTCTTGTCTGGATGGAGAGGTCAAGACCAAGGAGCTTGAAATGTCCAACTTGAACACTCGACGAAACAAGATAGCGACGCGCATTGCCAAGGTGGAAACAGAGCTGGACAACATCACGGACGCCAACAATCGTGGCGTTGGGGAGGCCGAGCATCGTAACCAACAGCGGGCACTCTGGTTGAGCAATGCGGCTTCGATCGAGCACCGCTACAGCGAACGTCTTACCATGGTCCTCGGCAACAATACGGCCAAGATGAGGCAGTATCAACTCTTGCAGGACCAGATTCAAGCCTTTCGCGTGTACCTGAACTCATCTCCGAACGGCATGCCGGGGGATGACGATGCTACGAGTGGTGCGCAGCCGCCAGCGTGGAATCCAAACCATGCCGTGACACCACACTATCCTCCGGGAATATGGCCACACTCTTCCAGCGACCTGGTCCCTCCTGTGGCTGCGCCGTCGACACATCCCAGTGCTCCAAGCTGGCAGCCCCCTCCCGCTCCTCTATTCGAGCCTCGCGGAGCCAGGTCTAGGGGCCGCAGTTCCAGCATGCTTAGTGACTTGAGCGGGTTTACGGAACCCAGCGACGAGGGCTCTGTCAAGTCGCCGCCGATTAGCCTTCGCCGGCCGGGACCAGGTCTTGCGGGGCGGAACGGCACAAGTGGCGGTAGTAGCGCCAGTAGCGGTAGCGCCAGTTTTGGTGACCCAGCGAGTCCAAGATGATGACCTTGTAGGAATGCCGGGCCCCTGCAATCTCTCTGTTCATTGGAGAATAAGCGGTCCAGATGAGAGCGTAAATATATGTGTTTTGGTTCCTTTGCATGCCCTTTTGAATAGTGCGTAACGGTGACTGCGTGACGGCCGGTGGAGAGAGACCAGCAGGTTATATTCTGCAAAACACCTGTACAGAGTATGCGCTGTCTAGCGGTTTGCAGGTTCGTATATTATTGGTGACAGGATGTGACAGGATCGGCTTGCAAGCTCAGCGGACATTTGTTGATGGAAAGGGAAAGGTATAGATGGATCGAATGGCCCCGCCACGCATGAATGTTGCGGTTCCGAATCCCAATTCGAAACAATAAGACAATGCGAGCAACCACTGGAGGCAGTATGGCTTTTTTAGTGTTGGCCCTCGTCAGACACCTATCTACGTACTCGGCGGGCACGCAGGTCCCCAGGTACTTGGTAGTTGGGAGTTGGTGACGGCGCCCGTCCTTTGTCGACATTTGGACCGTGACGTCAATCTGGTTTTCGTCTGGTCTGTTGTAGCGACATCAGGCAGCGACGACAACTGGAGACCAGACCAGACACCAATGGCCGTGCCAATTCGGCAGCGGTGCCTGGTCCCAGCACACGGGCCAGGACGCGGGCCAGGGTGCGCTAATGCTGCGCCAAGGGTCGCGACAGGCGACACCAAGCGTCACAGTATTCCTCCGTATGTAGATGGATTTGACCTGACAGATATTTGGCGGACACGCCAGAGCCAGACGCACACGCAACTTGAGCATTTGGACCAGCCGACGCTTCACTGGATTCCCAAAGTGGCTGGGGGTGCACAAGCGGTCAACTGGTGTGTGAATTGACTTTGATTTCTTGGCCTCAGTGCTCCATCTACTCCGTCCGCTCCGTCCGCTCCCGCTGGCCCCAATAGCTACACTTTGGAGCTTCAACCTCTCCAACCTCGACCCTGCACCTCACCACAACCTACCTAGGTAGTTAGAGCACCGCGCGTGCCTCTGTGAGCATCTTGCTCTGCTCTCGTGCGCCCACCTGTCGACATCCACTCCTGGGCATGATGTCGGCATCGTCATGGACTTTGTGAGCACCACCCGAGCTTTCTGTCCCCTCCCTTCCAGCAAAAAAGGGCAACACCCATCGGTTTGAGCCAGCTGGAAAAAAGCTAACCCTGAGCCTGTGCTTGGATGCGTACTAGTGGTCGCGATTATTGAGTCCCCTGGCGGCGGGAAGCCCGAGAAAGGACCAGGCAAAGGACCCGGCGAAGCGACTGCATCGGTTCGAAAAGGAATACGCAAGCCTGCTGGTGAGGATAGGATAGCTGCAATCTGCTGGCCAGGAGCTTCAGTTTGCTTTTTGGCCTCGTGCCTGCGGGTGCATCAGAAACTGACCATTGGGTAGTCAACATGGCGCACGTCGTCCAACCTCTCCCGCGATAGCGAAGCTGCCGAGACGCTCGAAATCCGCCTCCAAGAACTCACCAATATCCTCAGCGATGAGAGCCGACGTCCCCTCCCCCATCCCTGTATTCAGTACGCCTCAATCAAACAGATCTACGTTCCTATCGGCAAAATCGCCACCTCCTCCTACAACGAATGGATCATCAAGGAAGCTGTCCTTTTCTTCGCGACGCTCATCGAAAGCGAAGAAGAGGCCTTTGTTGAGAACCCGACCTTTTCCGGCAGCTTGACCAATTTGCTCGTACGCATTACCGGAGTCAATAGTGTTCGACTCGGCCTGGATACCGAGTCTCGCGTGGTTGAACTGGCTTTCAACATCACCACCAAGATCCGTCTCGACCCCGCGATACTACCTGCTTGGTTCAAGACGCCCCAGTTTTCGGCGAGCCAAAGCAGCCTCCAGGATCTCGATGAGCGGGAGCGATTTGCTGGTCGAGTGCAGCGAGTGGATTTCCCGCTGTTCTACATCCTCATGGATTATATCCACCACGAGGGGAAAGTGGGAGACTTTGCTCGAACGGGGCTGTTGTATATTATCGAAGCTGCGTCGAGCTCGGCAGCTCTGGAGCAGTGGATAGTGGAAAGCGACTTGTCTACGCTCATGGCAACCGGCCTTGGGGCCTTGTACAGTCAGTTGAGTCGCAAGCTGGTCATTGACCACTTGCCTCATGATTTGCCGCCAATTCTGGCCCTGTCGGACTACGAGCACCCCACGTCCAACTACGAGATTATTAGTTCTTGCTCACCCGAGTTTCAGTCGCACTTGGAAACGTTTCTCTCCCATCTGTTGTTTTGGCAAGACGTCTTGAACCACTGTCGGTCGGTCGAGGTGAAGTCGACTTTGCTGGAACATTTCCAAGTCATTTTTCTGCAGCAATTGCTGTATGTTGGCCCCCTCACCTTTTTTCTTTTTTAATATCCGACGCTCAAGTTTTACGAGGCTATCTTGCTGACCCAAACCTTTTCAAACCCTCAGTTATCCTTCTCTGCTCGAGTCTTCTGATATTGACGGAGGCTCATCTGTTGCCGTACTGACCTATCTGCGTCGGATCCTCGAATCCCTAGATCATCCCGACATGATACACCTCATTCTACACTATTTGCTGGCTCTTCCGGATGCTGCGCCGCCTAATAAGAAGCCTCCGCCATCGTTAGTCAGTGACGCTCGCAGGCGAAAGTCAATGGACCTGACAAAGATGATGTCGGAGAAGGCAGAGGAGCCGGCAACGCCCCTCCTTTTCAACCTTGTTGACTTGATTCTATCCTGCCTGCGATCACGAAACCAACAGACCATCCACGTTACCCTGCAACTTGTGTCTGCCATTTTGAAACGACACCATCGCTATGCAGTCTTCACCCTTTTGAGAACAGACGTCCTCCCTAGTCATACTAAGCACCGTACCGTCGGTGCTCACGAGCAAGAGGTCGACTACCTCGTCCACCTGGCCATCTCTATAGGCGGCAGAACCGACTTTGATGACATGTATGCCGGCATTCTCAAGGATACGTCGACTCGGCTGGAGAGCCATCCATGCTCACTAAGGTTGGTTGCACCGAAAGTGTCAACAAACAACCACAAGTTACCAGACCTGCCAGACAGTCTACCTGGGGCACCGCGGGACGTTCGGGAACACACTCTTCGCCCAGATGACCCACTGCTCAATATCATGCTGGATCTTTTGGAGACCTTCTTCGTCAACCCTGTGGAAACGAACTTGTCAGTCACCGAAACGATTGTTGACCTTGGTATCTGTGGGTACATCAGCATCGAGGGCTGGCTGGCTCGCAACCCCAGTACCTACGTTTATGCTGAGAGCGTTGAAGAGCTAGAGCGTGGCTATGAAACATCTGTAGCGAGCGAGTCTGCCGAACCGCCGGTGCAGCCCATCGATGGCGCGCTGAGCGACTCGTTTGACGAGGCTCGGCGTATGAAGGACATGGAGCGATGCAGAACTGCCCCCGCGTGGAAGGAGGCTTCACTGCCACGTGTCCTGAATGTGCTGAAGCGCCTTTGCGACCAAGTCGCCAAGTATAAGCACACCATACCGAGGTTTGACGAGCTTCTCGAGCAGAGGCGGAACGCGTTCCAAACGGCCGAGTCTATGCTGGACAACCCTCCCTCGGCTTTGCGGAAGGCGTCGCCAATACGATCAGGCACTCCGGAGCGCTCTAGTCTGGACGAGACTTTACGCACTACCGGGTCGCCACCGCGGCCTTCCGCTATAGAAGGATTCGCGCAGCGTCTCCTTTCGGAGCTGGGAACGCCAAGCAGGTCAGCGAGCCCCAAAGGACGCAAGGAGCAGAACCGAAGCTCCGCGACATCAACTTCCGGTAGCCAGCCTCCGGCACCAGAGTCAGTCATGACTCCCAAAGCCATTCGTGTCCCCCCGAAAGAATTCCCCATCAACTACAATGACCCCAGCAAGAGCGGAACTCGGAGCTTCTCCGCCGGCAGTGTCAGGCCGGATATTGGCGCATCACCTGAGGAGCGAGACGTGATAGCAGAGAGCCAGGCGTCTGCCTTTGCAGCCATTGACCAGAGCATCTTGTCCAGGCGTGTGGGCTTGCCGGATGAAAAGCTAAAGCCCATTCCGCTTGATCTGACCAAGAAGCTGGAAGCTACCGAGGTGGACGAGACAGAGCCCCCCAAACAACAAGAACACGGCAATGCCACAGGAGCAGAGGCTATGCCGGATGCAGTTGAAGATGTTGCCAATGGCCAAACGCCAGAGGAGGTGACAGTATCTGTGTCTCACGTCCTGACCAATGTCATTATTTTCCAGAGCTTTCTGCTTGAACTGGCCAGCCTGTGGCAGACCCGGGCAGGGCTTTTTGACGAAGTATGCTATGTATAGCGATGGGAGGGGCTTTTTTTTTCGTTCTTCTTCTTTTGATTTCAAAACACATCATCATAATTGGCGAGTTTGATTACCGTTGATGGGACAAAGAAATGGATTTAAAGGGTTTCAAGCAGGGGTGGACATTGGTAGCATGGAGGAGCGAGTTGCGCATTGTGGTAGACCCGTATGTAATTGACCTATACCCCCCATTTGTGATTTTGGTCTTGTTTGCAAATGGCTGTTGCTGTGAATTTTACGAGTTGGCGCTTTCTTTTTTGCCGTGGCTTACTGGTGTGGACATTATTCATGGGACTGGATGCCCGTGGTACTAGGTGGTATCGTTTTTTGCTGCCTCTCTCGAATGAACTACAAGGCCGTCGACCGTCGAGACGTACATGGCCCTTGGGTCTTGGCAGAATAGCTACGAGGGCCTACAAGAGCAAGGAGGGCGGGCTATTTCCTGTAGCGGAATGGCGTACAGAGTTTGTTCGTGTTGGAACTGCTATTCGGAACGCGGCGTATTCGTGACCTGACTGGGAGCAAAGGGATGCGGTGCACCTGTTGGCGTTTCAAGCATGGTCCCGGCTTCTGCTCTCTGGCGACGATGCTGGGCGGCTGCATGTTATTCAGCTCTTTGTCACCGCATCGACCGGCGCAGGCTGGCTGCACATTTTCGCCAAAGGCCCGACTACGATGCATCCGGTGGCTGGGCTGGTGATGCGGCGAGCCGGGCAGCACAGCGGGACTGCCCGCGTTGTGACGGCAGCTCGCCATCTCGATGTATTGGCGGAGGGCGGCGTTGATTGACGTTTTGCCAGAGTCCGCCCGTCGAGAGGGAGTTTTGGTCTGGTTTCCGGATCCGGTCACGGACCGCGGTCGAATTGTCACGAGGCGTTGCACGGCGTGGGGAAACCGAGAAATAGCGCGTGTATTGTAGCACTGACTTGTCTAGGAGATATCTTGTCAAGGAGGTGTGCGGAGTGCAACACTCAAGCTCAACTCTGCTGTGATGGTCTCTCGAGAGCCAACTGCCGGGTGTGCAATGAGACGAGACTGCGGGGAAACGGCTGTTTCTGGGACTAAATTTCTGACGCGGGCAGGGAAGTGTAACCGGCATGGATTCGCATTGACTTGCAAGAACTTTCTTTGCCTGATCAGTCCAAAATGTATATTCTGGACGAGTGGGCGGGAAACGAGGCAAAGAGTTTATTGCGCAAAGTACTGCAATTTCACTGCAGGGAGGGAGGACAAACAGAAAGGCGGTTGTGCAACAATTAGACGCCTTGCTACTCCGTAAAATTTCTCTCTCTTTCTCATTTTCGACGTTGCGTCCGCATTTTATTCCCTGCATCTGCAATACTACAACAATGTTGCCTTCTTGGTCGAGTGGCGTCTGGTGTGGGACAGGGCCGGCTGAGGCTTGTCTGGGGATGGCTTGTTGCACCCGGCAATTGTCAGTTTGTGCTCTGTATACGGAGTAGGCTGCCTCGGATGCTTTTCATCTGCTTGCCTGTTCGTCATGATGGGATGTCTCGCCAAGTTGCCCGTTCATAAGCTACGTGGACAAGGCTTTGCCATCTCATTACGTAAGCTTTTGTAACCACAGCTTCGATTTCCCCTTGCTTCTTCCGAGACTTTTGCTCCGCTGCTGGTAGCGTCTTCGCTCCCACACTTGTCTAGCCTGACCTGCCGCCAGCAAAGGCATTGTGTACCTAGTCAACTCACCGCGTATGTTTCTGCCAGCTTCACTTCTCTAGCTTCTTTCTCTGGGTGGCCGACGTCACTAGGCATCCAGGATAGTTCCACATACACCGACTAAAGTCGCTTATCGTTCCGCCGCTTTCCCACGAGACACAGCATCAGCTTGACGTTTGGACCAGCATCTCTCCGCACGGGGGCAGAGTTCTCCGTATATTGGGTCGTATTCCATGAGTGGTGTGGTGCCATTCACTAGCATGGAGAGTATTTTGGCTCGGGGGTATGGACGAGTCTGTACTCACATCTGGCTGGTAACTTGCCGAGCACCCGTGCAAGACCTGGGTACTTAAAACAACTTAGTTGCCGCATTTTTTTCTTCTAGAAAATCTTCTTTTTTACTTTAAAAGACCTTGGCGTACTATTTTGACCAAGGTTTGACGACGGCTCACAGTAGCGCAGGCGCAAAACTCAAAAAGCTTTCTTGGCCCTTGGGGGTGGGCGGGAGGCATGACTATATAAACACGCGGCAGATGAGCAACTCGTCTCGTATACTCTGCCACTTATCCCACAAACCTCTCTATCTGTAGGAAATCTCAAGGCAAGAATAAAAGATGCGACTTCTCACACTCCTCGCTGCCCTCCAATGGGCGCTCGTCGCCGTCGCCTACGACAAGTGGAACGTCTGGCTGGATCACTCCGACGTGCTGGCAGAACAGTGGCTCCCCGACACGGAAATCTCTCTCCTGATGCTCAGGATAGCCGAGCAGGACGGCCGCAAGCTCTGCATCCTCAGGCCCAAGAGCAGGGGCCGCGATAACGCACCCATGATCATGAAGGCCCTCAACGACGACTGCCGCGAGCACAGCCTCGTCTACCTGCCCGGCGAGGTGTACAATATCAACTCGCCCATGATCACGACCAATATGCGCGACGTCAAGCTCGTCTTGGCGGGCCGCCTGCTCTGGAGCGGCGACGTCGACCACTGGCTCGACGTGTCCATGCCCATCGGCTTCCAGAACCAGAGCACCGCGTGGCACTTTGGCGGCGACAACGTCATCTTTGACGGCTTTGGCGTCGGCACGCTCGACGGCAACGGCCAGATATGGTACAACTGGGCCGTGTCCGAGGGAAACCTGCCGCACCGGCCCATCAACATCAACTTCAAGAGGCTGAGCAACTCGGTCATCCGGGGCCTGCGCTTCGTCCAGAGTCAGATGTGGAGCATGGCCATCTCCCACTCGCGCAACGTCGAGCTGACCGACATCTACGTCAACAGCACCTCCAACAGCCGCTGGAGCACCCTCAACACCGACGGCTGTGACACCATCTCCTCGGACAACATCACCTTTCGCCGCTGGTACGTCGCCAACGGAGACGACGGTATCGCCCTCAAGGGCAACTCGAGCTTCATCTACATCTATGACAGCGTGTTCTACAACGGCCAGGGCATCGCCATCGGCTCCATGGGCCAGTTCGAAGGCAAGTACGAGTATATTAACAACCTTTACGCCCGGAACCTCACCTTTATCAACACCGCCCACGTGTCGTACCTCAAGACCTGGGCCGGCGTGTCGAGGGGATTCCCGCCCAACGGCGGCGGCGGCGGCATCGGCCTTGCCACCAACATCACCATGGAGGACATCAAGATTCGCAAGCTGCGCCAGCAGCCCTTCTTTTCCTGGCAGTGCGAGAACTACTCGGGCTGGGCGGGTAGGGACTGCAACTCGTCCAAGTTCAAGATGAGTCACGTCAAGTGGAGGAATGTCACCGGCACCGTCAACAAGGACGTCAAGGACGTGGGGTCGTTCCAGTGCAGCTCTGCCGCCGGCGGCTGCGATGACTTTGAGGTTGCGGATATTGACATCTCAGTTGACGGCGGCGGCAAGCTGGACAAGTGGCACTGCGAGAATGTCCACGGAAACAAGGGCTTCACTTGCAACGACCCCCCGCCCCAGAAATCTGGATGACAAAAAAGGGAAGGCAAGGCTATCACTTGCAGATGTTTTATATGGATTATACTCTTGATGGGCATGCACATCTGAGAGGCTGTTTCGGTTGAACAGTGGGGGAACATGAGCTCTCCAGGCATCGATAGTTGTTTGCGATTTTCGAGAGATGTTTTCCCATCAAAAAGACAGCGAGGATACGTCGACACATGTAGGGCATTTTGCTCATATCTACGTGATGACGGGGAGAATATAAACTTGCGGAAGGGATATGCCATTCTGTCTGGGACTAACGGGGCTTGTATGAGGGGAATACAAGGTTTGCGTTGATGAGCTTTGGTGTCCCCGTTTGGACGGGCAAGCCATGAATGAATGCACTTTCGTTCACGAGTCCCAGACTGTTTCCGGACATGGAACTCAAGGCTTGTCGTGATGTCTTGCCATATCACCCTACATGCGCGAGGCGGGAGGGAGTGCAAAAGTGTTTGATACCGATATATACAATGTGTCCTCGAGCCTTGGCATTTCCATGTAAGAAGCTATAATACAGCGGATTAGGAAATTACAAAGAGATTGCTAGTAAAGAGAGCGGCGTGAGTACAGGGGTAATTTGAAGCCATAGGTGTGAGTTGCAATACAGCCAAGTGCATATGGCCTCTGTAGGAACAAGGTGGTAGTTATGCAAGTGGCGGCCATTGCTATACTCGGGTAGGGCGAGTGCATGATTCTTGCATGAGCAGAAATATATAGACTATATAGCATTACTTTTCAACGACCGTCGTTGTGTAGTCGCATCCATGTCTGCGCAAAAATTATTGTCGGGCCTTGATAGCTGTCCCACGTGAAACACACCCTTGGGTGGTCACTGCTGCGCTCTACGGAGTACACGCCTTCCTTCCCCTTTCTCTATTTCTTCTTCTGTCTCTCTCCTCCTTTTTCATTTTCATCTTTTTGTGGTCCTTGAAAATAAAACCCATGGGGCCGAGAACAGCACCAACCAGGATTCCAAGTTTCATATCCAAATTCCAAGTTGAAGCAAAAGACGTAAAAGCTACTTGAAAACGAGCAACTCTTTGTTTTTAAAACTTCTTACAACATCAAGAAAAAAGTTCTCTGTAGCCCTCGACGAGGCTTTTGCTTCATTCTCCCTCTCGCCCAGACGACTTCCAAGGAAGAGAGAGGCCTGTTGACCCTTGAGGAGCACGCCGACTCAGATGCCTGCGGGATATTGCAAGAGTTCCCCAGTGTATGCAGGCTGCCGCCTAATGGCCCGAGAGCAGGGCATATGCGTTGTGCACTGATGGACCAATCTCAAGGGACTTGGGACATGGCCGAGGACGGATGCAGTGCAGCGCCAGGGGAGTGTCTAGAAGGCAAACAACGCTTCTTCGTCGCTTCTTTATCATGGCAAGCGAATTTTTCTGACTACCAGGAATCTAGTGTCATCCATGCTCTCTGAATTATTCAGCGAATCGTCTTGGCATCGAGCATCGCCCTGGGCTTTACAAATCACTAGGTAAAAGCTTCAAGATCTTCAGAGAGCTGGACCCTGCGATCAAGGGCGTTGAAGGGACGCAGTTGCAGCACATGGTCTTGAGGAAGCGGGGTGCGGGTTATTCACAGAGGTTCTACGAGTACGGGCCCTTTATCCGGCTGGCATGCTGTGGCCGACATGTGGTCCGCACACATCTCGAACAAACTCTTTGCGGAAGGAAAGTTGTAGCCGGCATCTGGATCAAGTCTACCAAGCTTACAGCAACATTACGATGCAATACGACGTTGTACAGAGGGGGTTCGGCCCCTCGTTGCATTTAGCATCCAGCCAACGAGCCAACTTGGCCTGGGCCCTTTTCCAATGTGGGACGAAACTACTGCGACGGCTGGAAACAGATCACTAGGGTCTCGACTCGACCGTTAGGTCATTTGTGGGTGGTGGCGAAGTATTGTAAACATGACATGTTCGTCCTAATGGGACTATTGCAGAGTATTTCCGCTCTTGATGCGGTTTACCAGCTTAACCACAAGAACTTCCAGGGAAGCCACAAGAAGCTTGTACATCTTCTATCTCAGCCCCCATTACTCCGTACCCTGGTCAGTGGCGACTGATTGGTGCGGAAGTGGAACAGTGAATCAAGCCATGGCTGAATGCACCGGCGGGTCTTCGGCCACGGCGCCGCTTGGAACCCTCGCCGCCCTTGACATGGTTTTAAAGGACGTCGTGGCGCTCCTTGCCGTGTGATGGTTATTCCTCCGCTATGACCCGAGGCAGCTGTTGGTGGTGGAAGGCTTGAAGAGGCTTGAAGAGGCTTGCATGACAGGGGTGGAGGGTGATGCCTTCTCCGGATGACGAAACTGGGTTCATTTTGCTCCGGAAATGACGGGGTTTCGCACGAACAAAACACCGAGTCCTCATCAACACGACATAGAACCCCGTTCTGGTCAGGACAGAAAGAGGACAACGCTCTGGGGGTGGTTTGGAGAAAAAAGGGCGATATCCGCTCGCAGTGGGGCGTGGCACGAGTTGCAATGATTTGACTCGGGTCCTTTGCCATGTGGTTGGAGATCTTGGACGGTGGGCATGTTGCTACTGTCTTGTCTGCAACGGACGAACTCAAGGGAGAATACTGTATACTCGATCAACAACGCTGAGAGGTGTTAGTCGCCGATGATCAATCGAGAGCGGTGAAGGCAATATGGACAGAACACAACATCCTCGTCATTCATCAGACCAACCTGTGGTTTCTGGGAAAGCCAGTTTCGACTAGTGACTCTTTTGTTGGTCGTCATGTCCCGACCTGGTGCCTTGTTGGACCACGCCCTCACCCTCACCGTTGGAAGCCGGCGTAGCTGTCAAGACGACAAAGGGAGCCCGAAGAGGCGCGTGACAATCGCCCCGGAGGTTGAGAGTGGAAGTGCCATACCTCTCATAGTATGTGTGGTGATGCGCTAACAGAAGCGACGTTTCCCAGCAAGTGCCAGAGGTGAACCCTACACACCAGAGCCTGAGATTTCAATGTCTGGTTCTTTCCGCATTGGTGAGGCGCTCCTTCCCTGCCTCTCTTCTCAGTCTCTTTCGCCAGTCGACTTCAAGATGATTCCGATATCCGCATGGAGTCGACGCTTCACTCTCACTTTTGAAAGTTTATCCGCATCTGAGTCGTCTTCTCTACAAGATCACATCCAGCCAACCAGCCAACGAGCCAACCAGCCATCACTGGGTGCCAGAGACCCATTGTACCCATCACCTGTCAGTGCTGTCACCCATTCCTTAGCTTCTTCCTTGGCTTCTTGCCGCCCCCATCGTCTCCACTTTCGCGCCGACCGCCGACTGCCTACTAGGGATGTATTTTTTGCGAAGAGCTGACAGTTGCAAGAAAACCAAAAAAGACTTCCGAAGGTTTGATGGGCTTGGAGAGAAATGGCACCAAATCAGCATGATCCGCTCAACAGGGCTATTTTAGGCTTCACACGGCCTACGCATGGAGGACCTGTGATGCAAGAGCACTTCTTTTGGTTGTACTGGCAACATTTGGCTTTCAAGGCCTAGAAGACCAGCTACACACTTTTTCGCGCTCCAGATATACCAGTCGGCAACCCAAGTTTCAATATTATGCCGTCAGCCAAGCCGCCAGAACCATCCTCTTCGCCATGACGTCTGTCGTACTCCGTCTTTGATGTTGGATTTCCAGCACCTGTAGGGCTTCGTCCAAAGCTCAAGCACCGTGATTAAAGTACTACGTACCTTCATGCTTGGCGCCAATGCGGAGAGAGGCCGGGGAAGTGGAGAGAGGCGTTGCTGGGCACGATCTGGCCATGGCCACAATCGGAGCTTGCAGACGAACAATGACAACTTCGGCCGAGTTTTACACTGCCCTTTGTATGCATATCTCACAGAGAAGGAGGGTGTTTATACTCGCAGCCAGAAGATGCAGTCTCACTGGATTGTGGAATTTATGGACCGAACAGTCGACTCCGTATCCAGTTCCGGTGTCCTGGCATACCTGGTTTTTATCAGGTTGTACGACGCTCCCGAGCCCTGGGTGCACAAACCGCACGCCCATGGTTTCTCCTAGTCACAGAGCACCTGGGCATTTCAACAGGGCGACGGAGGAGATGTTGAACCCTTGGACACTAGTACAGGCACCAACTGTTTGCGTGAAAGCGCCGTTTCTCGTCTCTTTGGCCACCTCGTGATCGAGTTGCATCGGGCACTGCTTCGTCGTTTGAACATGCAACTTCCACCACCCCGGAAGCTGCAAGACCTGCAGAGCTGCGGAGCTGTAAAAAATCAACAAATTGGCAGCATGACAGAGCAATCGGCAGCAAATTGCCGACGGAAGCAGCCCCCCCTCAGCTGCCAAAACTGCCTGCCAGACTGCCTGCCAGACCAGGGAGATCATCAAATCAACGAAGACGGCGGCCAATTGCTCGGCGCCATCACTGGGGCAACTTTGTTGCCCCGCCATGCCGCCGCACATGAGCGACGATCCTACGTCCTGTTCGCTGTTGGTCTGCCCTTGCTTGTGCCCCGCGTCGCCATCTGTAGGCCAACCGATGATCTGGGGTTTCGGTGCCCAGTCTGACCCCAACTCTGTTCATGGCAAAGTTTGGCCTCGAGGAGCGCCGGGGTCGTCGTCCACGTCGTCTTGAAGGAGCTAGCCGAAAACACCACCCTGCACTTTCATGTATCCCGCCAGCGCACACGCACCCGCGAGGACTTTGTTCTCTATCCATGACTGCCCGCACCAACCAACACCTTCGTCAGTCATCATCCGAGATGCTGACAGTAATATGTACATGCTCAGAAGTACTAACCAGGGGGTGGGCCGTGTGGCGCATCTTGATGCCGGTGTATTTTCCAATGTTGGGGTTAGCGGTGTTCGTGGGTGTCTCCAAAAGTTGACCGCAGTTCGGTATTGGGAACTGCTCGGCCGCGCTGATCATATGTACATATATTATATATATATATATATGCGTTGCCCCGGCCAGCCGATTCCTTTGGCCATGATCTCCTGCTGATGTCGCTAGAGAAGAAAGCTGGCCCTTTTGGATTTTGATTCGGCTTCTCAAGCGCACTTGACATCGCTAGACGATTCTAAGCGGGGAGACGCTCGGGAGTCAACATGGTTGTTGGCAACATTTACGTGATCGCCGCAGTGTCGGTTGTTGGCGGTGGTCTTTTCGGCTTTGACATTTCGTCTTTATCTGCCCAGCTTGGGGAGCAGTCTTACCTTTGCTACTTCAACCAAGGTCCCCATGGCCCTCCGTACACTAATGAGAAGTGCTCCGGTCCTCATGAGTTGGTTCAGGGAGGTATCACAGCCGCCATGGCTGCTGGTTCTTGGCTGGGCGCCCTTATTTCTGGCCCTCTCTCTGATCGACTTGGCCGCAAATACTCCATCATGGTCGGATGCATAATTTGGTAAGTTGACAAGCCCTGAGAAGAAGCTGTTTTGTGGTACTTGGGGACCCCAGCCACACAGTATGACCAGTTTTACCGCGAGACACCCGTACGCATAGACAGAGGTCTAGACAGTCTCAGTTGAGCTAACCAAGATTTCTTTGTTCTTTATCACAGGTTGGTGGGCTCGACACTCTGCTGCGCTGCCCAAAATATCGGCATGCTCATTGTGGGCCGCATCATAAACGGTCTGTGTGTCGGTATCGAGTCAGCTCAAGTTCCCGTCTATATTGCCGAAATATCGCCTCCCTCTAAGCGTGGCCGCTTCATCGGCATGCAGCAGTGGGCTATTACTTGGGGCATCCTCATCATGTACTACATTTCCTACGGGACTTCATTTATCGGTGAGCAGGAGTACTTTGGCTGGAAGGCTTCGTCTTTCCGCATTCCATGGGGCCTGCAGATGATTCCTGCCGTCTTCCTCTTCTTCATGATGATAATTTTACCCGAATCTCCCCGTTGGCTGGCCCGCAAGGATCGCTGGGAGGACTGTCGTTCTGTGCTGGCTCTTGTGCACGGAAAGGGGAATCTCGACCACCCTTTCGTTGCCATGGAGCTTCAGGATATCAAAGACATGTGCGAGTTTGAGCGTCGTCACGCCAATGTCACTTATTTCGATCTTTTCAAGCCCGACATGATTAATCGAACTCTGATCGGCCTGTTTACACAGATTTGGTCGCAGTTGACCGGCATGAACGTCATGAGTAAGTACAAGTAGTTTTTTGTTCCATATGAACTTGATGATTAACCCGTCTTTCAAAGTGTACTATATTGCCAATGTTTTCAGCATGGCCGGATACGAGGGCAATGCCAACCTTCTCGCATCATCCATCAGCTACGTCATCAACGTCTTCATGACTATCCCTGCTCTCCTATGGGTCGATCGCTGGGGCCGTCGTCCTACCCTCTTGGTTGGCTCCGTCCTCATGGCGACCTGGATGTATGCCAATGCTGGTATTCTGGCCAACTACGCTGAGATTGTTCCCGGTGGTATCAATGGTGTTGCAGCCCAGTCCATGAGACTTACCGGTGCTCCTGCTAAAGGCCTCATTGCCTGCACCTACCTCTTCGTCGCTTCCTTTGCTCCCACCTGGGGCCCCGTCTCTTGGATCTATCCACCCGAGTTGTACCCTCTGCGGCTCCGTGGCAAGGGCGTAGCCATGTCAACTTCAGGAAACTGGGCTTTCAACACTGCCCTTGGCCTCTTCGTCCCTCCTGCTCTTGCAAGCATCAAGTGGAAGACATATCTCGTCTTTGCCATCTTCAACACGGTAGCATTCTTCCACGTACTCTTCGTCTTCCCCGAGACTGCTGGGAAGACTTTGGAAGAGACCGAGGCAATGTTTGAAGATCCCAACGGGATAAAGTATCTAGGTACCCCGGCGTGGAAGACCAAGGTCGTCACCAAGTTGGTCGACCGGGCTGAGCATGGTGACGTTGACGCCAAGCGAGCCGCCGAATACAAGCTCTCTGAGGCTCACGAGCACGACGTGGAGAAGGCCGCCACACCTCCTGCGGCTTCTTAATTGCGACGCCTCGAGTAGATTAATTCAAACCGCGAATTGCCTTAGTCGACATGCCGCCAAATACCACCCAAGGCTCTAGTGTGTGATCTGCATTCAATCAAGGACCTCTGAATGACCAGATGTGGGATAGTTTATATGGGACGATCTTTTCTGATTGATTTTATTATGTTAAACGATACCAATTTAGGCAGTTTTCGTTGCAAAGATGTTCGTAAATAATCGCCATGAAGTTGAGACAAGCGCTTGTGATTTGCGGAATCCCTTGTCAATTCTGTGAGCGTCAGTACTACCACTCCGTACTTTGAATGGGGGACTGACTGGCCACTCCTCAAGCTCAGTGACACGCCGAACCCACGAGCTCTTTTCTGTTGCTGTTATATCCTAGTGCCAATAGCCCTGACGGTTAAGGAGGAATGTCAATATATTGATCCGCAGGAACTGCCGGCTAGTTTTCGCAAGTATTCAACAAAGTTAAAGACCCAACGCGCTTCCCTTCTGGATCCACGCAAGGTCCCTGTGTTATCCAAAATGCAAATCCATTGTGGAACTTTTCCCCGACACTATTCAATCCATCCCCAATGCGGGTGAATATGACTGCGAGCGCTTCCAAATCTCGCCTCAACCCAGGACTGCGTGGTGACGAACGTGCATTTCTTTCGACATGTGCGCCTTTGCGTCGAGAAACCAACCTTGTCGGCGTGACTGGACGGCTTGGTCAGGGTGGTGTGCTGCCGTTAAGGCAGATATGGCAATGGCGCGTCACTTGGCGAGCTTGACTTTTGAGCAGTCGAATTACCATTGATCCCGAATGGGCCTCGTACAACGGAAAGGTCTAGACCAGGATCCGGGCTTGATTGCATCCACTGCTCGGGGTCTATCCATCCAGGGGCCAGTGTTGGAAAGTTGTGAGATCCAATGTCGGCGGTTGCGGTGTATGGCTGAAGTCGATGTTCGACAGCCAGGTATTTTGGCCTACGGTATGGGAGCGACTTGATTTGCGGGCCGAGTAGAGACAAAGCTCTCCACGCTTGAGGAAGGAAGAATATGATGGTTGAGTGACCTGCCCAGCGACGTTAGTTGTTATTTCCGTCGACGGGCTATCGAGGACAAGAGGATCGACAAACATTGCATTTTCTTTTTTTGGAGTGACACCCTACGCAGTCTTCTTTTAACGCCAAGTTACCGTTACTGAACTCGTATAGAAACATCCTATCAGCCCGAGGTCAAAGAAAGCACTCAATTGAGCTTGAACTCATCCTTGAAACTTCCAATCAATAGCCCACCATTCGACTCAACCACGCCGCCAGTGGCAAACGAATCCTTCATGCAGTAAATGTATGCCTCGGCAACTTCCTCTGGCGTGCCCACTGTCCCCGTGATATTCTCACGCTTAAAACTCTCCGCAATAGCCGGCAGATTCTCCGCTGTAATACTACTAAACAATTCCGTGTGCACCGCACCAGGCTGCATGGCGTTGACACGAACCGGCTTGAGAGCGACTGCGAATCCGCGAGCAAGGCCTTCAAGACCTGCTCCAGTTCCAGCCACAATGGAAAAGGCTGCCGTTGGTCGCCGGGAAGCAGTGCCGCTAGTGAGAGTGAGCGAGCTCTGAACGCTCTGGTTGATGTACCTGGGGAGATTCTTGGCCAGGAAAATTGACCCGTGGGAGCGGACGGCGGTTGTCTTGCCAAGTTGGTCCACGGTCACGTCGTCCAGCTTGGGTAGGACGAGAGGTCGCCCGCAGTGAAGGCAACATGGCCCAGCTTGCCGTTCTTGGTGGCGAACTCGAGAAGGTCATTGATGTTCTGGCCAAGCGTGTCGCCGGGAGAAACACCAACGGCTGTGGCGTGGCTCTGGAGACGGGAGACGGCGTAGTCGAGTTTGCTCTGGTTGGAGCTGCTGACGTTGACAAATGCGCCATGCTCGACTGCGGCCTCTGCGATGCAGAAACCGATGCCGGATGAACCGCCGAGGACGAGGACCCGGCGGCCCTGTAGCTTGTGGGGTGTACTTGAAGGGGGTCTGGAATGCCATTGCCGAGGGTCGATTGAGATGTTCAAGCTGAGTGGATGCTTCAAGATTTCTGTAGGTAGGTACTCGATACTGGAGTTTGGATTCGAAGAGAAAAGCGAGGCGCTTATATAGCCAAATTGCTTGCATGCGAGAGTGTTCCTGGACGATTCCGTGGATTCGGCGCCGGGTGGAGATGTGGGCGGCGGCGTTCCACCAAAGGCGGCGAGCGGCCCGCTAGCGTCGCCGACAGCTCCACCGTTGACCTTTCCTCTTTTGTGTACATGTGTGGGATTACAAGGCGGACTTTGCGGGTTTCGGAGACGACGGGGTACAACGTGTCGCCGCACGGGGTGTTACCGAGTCTTTTCTGGGGAGCGCTTTATGCAACAACGGCTCAATGCTACAATTGAAGAGACAACCACGAGTTTCCCGCTCACGATTGGTGTTGCATTGGGATTGCAGCAGGTCGGCGGCATGTCAAATCCATCAAGTCCGGTCCGTTCGAGTCCACCGAGTCCGTCGAGCCCCACAGTCCGGCAAGGCGGCCACGTGAGCACACGAGGAGCTCCCAGCCACCCCCGACGCGCCTTGGGTGTCTTGGCTTCACGCACAGCCCAACAAAGCCAACCATTCACAGAAATGTGAATTCAGGTCCTCTCGGCGGCCTCGTGGCTGCGTGTGATCCACCACCGTCTGAAGCCTTTGCTGGCGGCCAAGGCCTCATTCACCATTGTCCCTCCAGCTTTGCCCTCATCACACTCGATGGCCCAGCGTCATGCCGTTCGTCGCCAACACGCCCGAATCGCTTCTCGACCGTGCCGACTCCAAAAACCCAAACTCCACATGTCGCGGTATAACCTCGAGCGGCAGGCCGTGCAGACGACCCATCAGCCGGTCGTCCGGGATTTTGCTAGCCCCTAGGAATCGAGGGCCGAGAGTCGATCTCAGCGATGAGAGTCTATATTGCTGGCAACACAAGGAACAGGCCAGCCACAGTGCAGCGTCCAGCCCCGGTCCTAGGAGGAGCACGAAGCCTATTCTAACAGAACGTTCGAGCTTGGATACCCTCGCGGACCGCCTGGGAGTTGTGCAACTTGGACAAAAGGACACCCACGAGCACAGTAGGGACCATGGGAGGCCACCAAACACGTCCATCAAAGCGTCGAGGCCGAGGACGCCGCCAAAACTCCAGTTTTGCCTCTGCTTCTCTATTCCACTAGAGGAAGTACACGAGCCAGCGCGACCGAAACCACGGCCGCAGCCGGAACCTATCCAGAACCCGGCCTCGGCCTCTATGCCTAACTTGCGAAGCAGACACCATCATAACGGCAAACCGGGCAGCCAGCAGCAAATCACGACACCCAGCACCTCCCCAGGCAAAGCATCCTACCGATCTGGTCGATCCACCGTTTCACAAACTGCACGATTCAAGGACCTAATTCCAGACTCACTGGACATGGCGACGGCGTCGACACTCATGACTGAACTAGCCAAGCCGCACACCGACTCCGAAGAAGCCGGCTACATATACATGTTTTGGCTGACACCCACGTCTAAACAGTCACCGCCGCCCGTCGACGCCGCCCGGTCCTTACTGGTACCGCCGTCTCCATCGTCTCCGGCGCGCTCACGCCGACCAAGTGACATTGTGTCTACCTTTGCAGACCCCAGCGGCAAGGGGGACAAGAAGACCATGCTGCTCAAAATAGGGCGTGCAGCGAACGTGCAGCGGAGGATGAATCAGTGGCAGCGGCAATGCGGGTATGATATTGAGATGCTGCGGTATTACCCCTACGTGGCTGCTGTAAACGACAGCCCTGGAATGAGCCGCACGCCCCGGATGACGCCTCACTGTCGTCGTGTCGAGCGCCTGATTCATATCGAGCTGGCGGGCATGGGGCTGCGCGCAGACATGTCAACATGTGACGCCTGCGGGAGGGAGCATCGAGAGTGGTTTGAGGTGAAGGCTACGCGGGAAGGGATTCGAAAGGTGGACGATGTGATTCGGCGATGGGTTGACTGGGATGAAACGAGCTTGGATTGACATGGTCAGTTGCCACGAGAGGCGCGCATGGCATAGCATATGTATATGGAGTTGTACTTGTTTTGGCATTGCATGGACATGGGAGCACTTGACATTACCATCGGAAGAAGGAAGCACATTTTTGTCTGGACGCGTGATAATGACTAATGGATTGCTGCTGGCAACATATAGCCCATATGCGTATCCAAGTGGGTAGTTGAAGGTGTTCCGTGCCGAATGACTCATCGCGGTGTGGAGTTTGCGGTCCTTGGGGGATGATGAAGAGACTCAATGTCCGTGGTAAGATGCGCCCAAGCTGTCAGTTGTCGTTGGACTTGTAACAGCCGCCTTGTTCAAGGCCACATATTGGTCAATAACACTAAACCTGGGTACAGCCAAAACACAAACATTACAATGTCTGTGCAACAAGGCACGCCTTTACACCCCGTCTCATCATCCCAAGATGCCCCTACTCTCGTCGATATCCATTACGAGGCCTTTGCAGACGATGCTCTTATGAAACTCATGTATGGATCTCATGGCGATACGGCAGCCACCGTAAGAGATTTACGGGGGGTTCTCAAGGACCCAACAGCCAGGTTCACCAAGGGCAATTGACGATGAAACAGGCGATATTCCAGGCTGGTCGTGATGGAACATCTACCCTGACGCCGAGACTCACCTCGAAGCGGCAAAGAATACTGAGGAGGAGCAGAAAGAAGCTCCCAAGACTGCGATAAGCCCGGAGTCATTCCTGCAGTATCATGCTGCCGTAAACGATAGGAGGAGAAGATGGATTACTGGGAAGCCAGGGAGTGGCAAGTCTCCCCTTTCTCCATGTCGTACTTGATCTCGTTTAACCTGTCTATATAGTTCTCCAGGCCCTTGCAGTTCGTCCGAGGTCACAGGGCAGAGGCGTAGGCACGGCACTTGTCAGGGCTGGGCTTTAAGAAGCCAATCGCAACGGGGTGTTGGCATGGCTGGAGGCGTCGTCTGCTTGGCATGGCTTGTATGAGAAGTGCGAGTTTCGAGATGTCGGAGAGGCCATCGAATCGGACTTGGGGGCGTATGGGAAAGCCACGACGGTTTGCATGCTGCATGAGCCGTGATGCACGATCCCAGGGCTAGGCGCATAGCGTTTGGATGAGTTGTATGTGCATGCCAGCCGTTTGTTGGGAGAATTCTGTCATGACTTCAACTCTCTAAGCGTAAACTATTCTGGGGGGACTCGGCCTGCAAGTATAAGCCCTAGATCACTCGACAATGCTGCTCGCCCACACGTGACTACTCGCTTGTTCTCCGGTTCTCCGAGACGCAACAGCCGTGTTTTGCCATCTCCCATGTACAATCACTATTAAACTGACCTTTCAAATTATCACCGGTGTGCCCAGGAATCGGCAATTGCTATCAGTGCCACGTGCCTGGCTGCGATGCCCACTCGTTCCTGGGATATCGACCCGTGAGTCGTGCCACTAGACGCTGACAGTCATGCAGACAGTCCCACACCATTCCCTAGGCTTCCGCATTTCGGGCATCCTCATTTGTCCCGTCAGCGAGCTCAGCGCGCCCTTTTGCCAGACATTCAACGCAAAGGGGGTGGCTTATTTTGAGATGTCGTTTATATACCCAACTCGCTGCCTGGTTCCTGGGTTCAGCAGTCCTCCTCCTGCGTCATGAGGCGTCCAAGTTGGCAGGCACCAGTACCTTGTGAATCCCATCACGGAGGCAACACCCCAATAACGAAACAGGCCCCCCTTCACAACATGGGCGAGTTCGCTGCGCCGGGGGCATATGAGGTCCTGGCGACTTCCTTGCAGAGGGACAGGCTATTCAATGTCGACCTCGATAGTGGCTTGGGTCGAAAACCAACCCCAGTGCCTGCTCACTTGTCAAGGGTGCTGTACGTGCCGAGGCATAGCATGCTGAATCTGTCACTGTTTGATGCTGGATTGCAGTACAAACAGGCCGTTGACCATTCGCCCGTCGGGGGAGAAGAGGTGACGGGCAAGGCGCTGATGGGCAGTCGTCTCTTTAAGACGAGAGTAAATACCATGGTATGTCCTGTTGGGGATGGGGATGTCCAGGCAGCGTATGTTGTTGGTCTTGATATCGAAAAGATTAGAGACGGAGGCGATATCTCTGCCACGGTGCACAAGGGGGGTCAGGCGGACCCAATACCTCACGTCAACATGTTAGTATCGTGTCGGGTCAATGGTTTGCGAGTGTCGTTGCTGACCCCCCTGGCGTAGCATTCTACCCATGTTGACAGATGTTTTCAGCTTGCTATCCGTCACAAGTGATCAGCACTCAGACACGATCAACATATCGACAACATACCCACTGCCCCGTCTCGAGAGCATGGTCGCTGCACTTCACTTCCCGTACTCTAGGTTCTCAATACCCAACACAGCTTCTGTCTACGAATGGCAAATTCACCCTTTGGACCACGGCACACTGCGATATACTTTGGCGGAACTGGGTGGCGAGACATGCCAAGGAGAAACCGATTCTGGACCACAAGACTCAAACATCAAGGCTATTTACCATCACATTGGCCATCATGGATCTCTGTTTTTACCACATAGCGAGGGTGTTTTACTTTTACCAGAAACAGCCAACGAGCATGATGGCTGGTTGGAATTGGTCATTGTTTCTAGTCTCATCGGTTTGCTGTGGAGGATACGAGGAATGGAAATCAAGGACGACGAGCCACAGGCGGCCAGCGTGAAGAAGAGACCGTCACTTATGAAGAGGGTGTTTGGGAGGAAGCAAGAGCAATGGTGCAGCTTGTTGTCAAGTATGCCCTCCTATCATGGCAGTACTTGCTATACTCTGCCAAATCTAATTACGCATCATTAACCTTGAAGAGCCGCCACGATTTCCTTTCGCTGCTCTGGGCAGGCAACTTTCCCATAGCCACGACATCACCCTCATTGACCCGAAAATTAGGTCTTTGTGCCGTATATAATGTGATGCGCCCGCTACAGCGACGGCTGCCCAAGAAAATTGAATCCCACGATTCCCTCAGCAATCACCACTTCGGGTCCCGACTCCGACCTCGACGACACCGATACTCGTCTTCCTATTATGCCGCTGCTTCCGACTTCTAACGAAAGCGGCGAGCTAAGCGGGAATTCGACATAGTTGTTTAACAGCCGCGTTGCTGGGAACACAAATTGTCGAAAGAGACCACAGTCATGAGCGCTTTTGGTCATGTCGCCGCTTGAGCTTTACATCCGTTAGACCAATTGTCTTGTTTTTCCCGTTTGCATTGCGTTTGCTGTAGAAAGAATACATACTGGATGACGACGCGGAGCTTATCCACGTCCGCCAGACGGCACGCTTCGGCGGGCGTGAGTCTCGCATGAGTGGCTTCTGTACTTCCGGGCTGTCCGGGTGTGTGGAAAGCCAGATCTCCTTGGGTAAACCAGCTTGACGGGGTGTTGTGCCCATTTTTCGGTGCACTGAGGGCGGCCAGCGCACCTCCTCGAGGTCGGTTCGTGACTTCTGGACCACACATTGTTGGTACACAAGGGCTCCTCTCCTACAAACTCCAGCATCAACAACACGGCGCGGGTAATGGAGGAAAACGCAGCTTAAAATACGTGGCTGGAAACAAGGACAAGGCATAATTGCCTCTTTGAAACAAAGCGATGTGCTCATTCTCGCTCAGCTCTTTTACAACGTTTCTCACCCTTTGAGCCATCCAGGTGCACATGGACAAAGCAGCCAGGGCGGACCCACGAGCCAATCACAACCTCGGGCGCGTCAGCCTGTCTTCCCGTTGCGGTAATCGTCAATGAGCAAGTTTGCGCGGAAATGCTCCGGAATCACGCCAAGCGCCTCTCACCATTCAGAGAAAGGGATTTGACGAAGTTGCTGACATATCAGCGTTGCAGATGAAGGGCCTTGCTTGTCCGTTTCGTGCGACGCCCCCCCCTTCCCTCCGAGTCGAGTATAGGTTGATGATGCCCAATGCAATCGTGGTCCACTGTCTCGCAGGTCTGGCGTTCGAGTCGTAGGGTTGTGATCACATATATCATCGGCTCCCAACGCTGCTATTGCCTTACGTTGCCCCTCCCTCTCTGCTCCTCCATTTATTGTGATTCCTGGCGGTTTTGCTACGCTCTCTTGACACTCTTTCCCAGCTATACTCCCGCCCCGCAACACCTCTACATCAGATTTAAATCACAAAGCACCAACGGCAACCATGTCTGTCGGGACTTACAGCCTCCCCAAGCTGCCCTATGCTTACAACGTACGTCTCCTGCAACCCATCCAGGTCCTGGATTCTGTATGCCTAACCCCTCTATTCCTCGCAGGCATTGGAGCCCAGCATCTCGGCGCAAATCATGGAACTCCACCACAGCAAACACCACCAGACATACGTGACGAACCTAAATAACGCCCTCAAAACCTACGCAACGGCCACCGCGTCCAACGACATTGCCGGCCAGATCGCCCTCCAAAACGCGATCAAGTTCAACGGTGGCGGACACATCAACCACTCCTTGTTCTGGGAGAATCTGACCCCGGCCAGCTCGGCCGAGGCTAACCCCCAGAGCGCAGCAACCCTGATGGCTGCCATCACCAAGACGTGGGGTAGCTTCGACGAGTTCAAGGCCGCCTTTACAAAGGCTCTTCTGGGCTTGCAGGGCAGTGGATGGGGCTGGCTGGTCAAGGACGCCGGCAGCTTGCGGATCGTGACCACCAAGGACCAGGACCCGGTTGTGGGCGGAGAGGTGCCCATTTTGGGGGTCGACATGTGGGAGCATGCCTATTACCTACAGGTACGATACCGTCCCAATCACTCGTCACCATGAGCAGTGTTGCTGACGTGGTTCTGCGTTGGTAGTACTTGAATGGCAAGGCGGCGTACGTTGAAAACATCTGGAAGGTCATCAACTGGAAGACGGCCGAGACTCGGTTCAACGGAGGACGCGATGATGTGTTCAAAGTCCTCAAGGCCGCCATTTAGTGTTGCGTATGCCTCCTTGCGGAAAGCCATCGTTGCATAGCGGCAAAAATAATGGACCTCGTCATTGGCATCCCCCATCTAGCGGTGTGATGGCCACGGCTCGCTTCCGAGTAAAACATGAGTCAACTGAATGGAAATATATGAGTCCAATGTCTAAGTTTCTTGTCAAACGGGACTGATGTGAAAAAAATCGCCCATGGCCGGGAGCGTTTGTAGAGGCGGTGACGGCGCGCTTCCTAGATTCAGCGCAACCAGCATGCCCGTGATACCTGGGCCACGCGCACCATGGTCGCACGTTTCGTACATCTGTAACGGCGCCATGGTTCCTTTGTTCCTGAATAATTTCCGAAAAGGGGGTGACAAAGTCAGCTGCCGACGTATTCATGTCCAAGTCTCTTTGCACTCCTCTTTGCGGGCGGCACAGCCTCGTATCCAGCAAGATTCGTGTCGCTCAGCATAGAGTATATGCCCCGTTCTGGCCATGAAGCTATTGTTTTTGGCACGGGGGGCGGATCGCCGCAGATAATGATGAGCTCATTTCGGCAGTCTTGCAACGCCAGAGATGCAGGGCTGTTCGAAGCTGCCAAACTGCGGCGGATCATTGCACAACGCGCCATCGTGTCCATAGTATTACAAGAGGCAGTCCACAAATGCGAATCACTTGTGTCCCCGGAACACAACACTCGGAACGGTGTAGGGATCATCAAAACGCCGGGCCGAAATGGCCTCGGATAGAGGCACGAACGTGATTTTACTCCCAAGTCCACACGGATGAGCTGTAGATGGGCTCAAAGTACTGGTATTCGACAGTAGCGCAAAGACGTATAAAGACGCCGAGGCCGAAGCCAGCTTGGTTGAGGGAAATTGCATTTAGTAGAAAACCGTCACGTCAACACAAGTCAACGTTTGTTTCCATCGCTCTTTACAACATGCTCAAGATGAAGGCTGTTGACGTGCTTGTATTGGGACTCAGGTATGGCCCAAACCCCCGTGCTCATGACCAACTAGGTACAAGGACTGACTCTTCCAGTGCCGCGCTGACCATCGCAACCGTCCCCGTCACGGTCACAACCACAGTGACGGAGTGCGCTGCTTTATGCTATTCGACTGGCTACGCCACTACCGGCATTCCGGCGTACTCGGCAGCGCCCCCTTATCCTTTATCCACGGAAACATACCCAGAGCTTCCATCCAGCACCACCATCGACTCGTACACATCGTCCAACGGCCTGTGTACAGACCAAGCCAGTTGCAGCTATGCAGCTCCCACACCCCCCTCGTACGCGGCCCCAGATCCGGTGGAATCGTCTGACTTGCCTGTGACGACTGGTTATGGACCGTCCACGCAGGATCCAAACGTTTCGGCGACCAGGGATTCGTGTTCGTCCTCTGGTGGCAGCACTTATGCTGTGTATTCTCCAACGATCCAGCCGTATTCGGAGACGACGCCTCCTACCTATGACAGCACGGCAACTCCGACGTACCACAGTCCATCAGGGACCACGAGTTCAACGGATACCCAGGAATCCCCAACACTATCCACGCCGAGCACTCCGTCAGGCCACGTATATCCATCGCCGTCGCACGAGTCCAGTGCAGATGCTACGGAGACGTCTCTGCAAACCACCACACCCACCACATTAGCCACCAGTACCAGGCAACGAGGCAGCAGCAGCAGCAATCCTAGCCGTACAAGAGGTCCGCCCCCCGTATACGGAACACCCACCGACGAGCCACCTTCTTATCATGATCCTCCCTCCTACACTGATCCTCCCTCGTATGGAGAGGCAGACTTCGGGGCTATTTGAGTCTCCGTGACAGCTGGCACTCATATCAGTGTTGCGGAACATGGACCAGCGTACAAGAGGGCAATGCGCGTCGCGTCCTTATTTTCAGCTGAAGAAACAATGCTTGACAAGTCGTTGATTTTCTAGTCCTTCATGATCACAGATCCATGATTCTATAGTCTATCGTTTAAATAAGAGACAGTTCAACTTTTTCTCATCCATACCCCGGGTATAACTTTATGCCTCTATGAACCCTTTGAAAGGCAAATGACCGCCCACTTTCCGTGCCAAGCCCATCGTCTGGCACCACTATCACCACCACCACCTTCAGTGGCCCTCAATTCCTCGTCTTTACCAGCCGGAAGGCCGACAACAACGTCAGCCTTGCAGGTTCGCAGAGAGAGGACGTTGACCCCGGATCCAGGGCCCATGGGGCCGAGGGCGGTGGTCCACGGGGTAGTGGGGTCCCAGTGAGCCTGTAAGTTCCAGTTAGCTTCTGCCCAAAAAAAAAAAAAAAAAAAAAAAGGTAAACCCGTCTACAGAAGAGGGCGGGGGGACACACATCACCGGTAAGCTTTCGGTAGTTCAGGTCACCCTTGAAGATGGTAAGCTCGGCACCCTTCATGTCCTCGTGAAGCTCAGGAGCCTCAGCAGGCAGGCGCCAGAAGCTGCCACCAGCAGTCCAGTAGCGGTTAGGGCGCATGATGAGCTGGCCCTCGGCGTGGAGGTTAGCCCACTCTTGGAAGACAAAGAGAAGGTCCTCGGCCTCCTTGTCAGCCAACGGAGCCGGAGTCTTGTCTTGCAGCTTCTCGTCGTCGGACTGGGTCTCAAAGAACTTTTTGGGGTCGGAAAGGGCGTTGAGGAGCAAGGGAAAGTCGCCAGGCAAGACATCAGATACAAACCAGGGGATCGACTTGGGACGGAGAATGATCTGGGTGGCCAGGCCAGAGGTGAGGAGGAATCCGGCCAGGACAAGGTCAACGTACAGCTCGAAGCCGGAGTTGTCGAGGACAAAATCAACACGGCGCTCCTTCCTGCCTTGATCGCGGGCCTCCTTGAGGATGGCGTACGCCTCGGGGAGGTTGTTGATCAGAATGTTCTTCTCCGCCGCCTTGCGAGCCTGGCTTCCCTGGAGCTTCTGGATGTCCTCATAGGTGAGGTTGGTGAGCAGAGACAGATCCGTTGCGTTGCCCCAGAGGCAGATCTCGAACATTTCGGTGAAGAGGAGCTTCTCGGCCTCCTCGTTGTGAGTTGCATCCTTGTTAGAGCGAAGCTCCGTGACAAACTCCTTGTATCGGGAAGCTAGCTCAACAACTGCACTGCGAGAGGTACGGAACGTGTCCATCTTTTGGCGGGAAAAGATGTCATAGTTTTGCCAGTGCTTGGTGAGGCTGAAAAAGGTGCTGATGCGTCTGTTGGGCATGGAACTTAGCATCAAGACGTCTTGATTAGTTGTATTCGAAAAATCTCCCACACACCTGTACATGTAGCACTCGGAGAACAGCCAAGGGACGTCCAACCACGTAGGGTTGCCCAACTGCTCAATCTCCTTGTTGTAGCGAGCAATCTCCTCGGGGTAGCCATCGTCGACGATGGGACTGCAGCAATGTGATTAGCCCAGACTCTCCTCCTGGCATGGAAAGAATTTCGTTGCAGTACGCACGTGAGCTTGCGGTCGTGAAGAACCTCGTATTTCAGGTTGCCCAGCTGCTCGATAATCTTCTTGCCTTCAGCCTGCTTCTCGGCGTCGTCGGTCTGGGCGACGGTGCGGTGGACGTCGTCAATGGCGCCAGTCTGCACGGACGGAGCTGTCAGCGCTCTCCTCTTTCACTGTGGCCATACCTTGGTGGAAAGTGCATACCAGGATAACCGGCCAGCGGTTTCGCACAGAGTCGTAGGCAAACGACGTCGGGTCGCTGGTGACGGATTTGGCTGGGATTGCGCATGTCAGTTAGGCTCTGGCCAATGGTCGAATGCACGGATTCGTACGGGTCTTTGTATCGTATTCCATTTTGATCTAGTTATTCAACAAAAAATAACCAACATATGTACCTGCAAATGTGTATAGGAGAGAAATGTAGAGCGAAAAAGATGGCAAATCCAAAATGACGGCGAGGGGCCAATTCTAGTCCATGGAGGGGCAACAGCGGCGCATCGCCAAAAACAACTCGAGCGGGTCTGCCCAAGAGATGCCACAAATGCACGGTGCCATTACGACAGCTGCGATTGCTACGGTCAAGGGGCCAGGTGGATTATGAAGTGGGTTTCGTGTCTCTAACTCTGGTCAAGTAAGGAATCCCGAGCTCGCTCAAGTCCATCGCCAACAGTAGCAAGACGCACGTTCCTGTCCGCTCGAGTGGGTTTCCAGGGTCCCCCCCTCCGTTCCTGCTCTGGCGACCCTTTGAGTCGCATGCGCGCGCCCAATGAAAGAAACCAAGTAATGCGCCACGGCGTCGTCTCTATCTGCATGTTCAGGAGCCCAATCCCAAGTCCAGTGATGGTGGGTGGCATATTATCGCTGCGTGTTACTGAGTACTTGACACGCAAAATGACGCTGGTGGATACTTTGGGTGGGGTCGGATGAGACTGCATTCTCCACGACCGACGTCATTTACTGGGGACGTTCTACTGGGTCTTTGGCAACTCAAATTTGCCGTCAAGTCATTCGTTCAACGTCGATGCAAGAGCTGGAACGGAGGGAGAAAGAAAAAGACGCTCTCTGAGGTGCCTGGGGATGGAACATGATCGACGGCACCGGGTAGTCATTGCGTCTGAGATGAAGGCATGCCAGCAAGTGATCTACTATTGTCAGGTCGTGGACGGATCCGGGCCTATATGTTGGTTCTTGTTGAATGGCAAACGAGTCAATAAATGTCGTCCGAAAATACCAATTTCCATTCATCACCCGTGACAGAATTCCTACAAGCGCCAGATATGCAACATGGCTCTATAACCCCATATTCTTGGGTGGCTCTGAAACGCCATGATACTACCACCGCGGCCGTCTTTTAGACGCAAACTCCGTATCCAGCCTATCCAGCCTCTCCAGCCTCTCCAATGCTCGTTTCACAGCCTTGGTGGTTTCCTCGACCCTGTCCAAACTAAACAAGTCGAAATGGTGCCCGTCACGGGAAACACGTCGGCAAGCATGTTCTTGTCATACCGCCTCCATCCAAGCTTCTTATCTGCGCGGCATGTATCCAATTCACTGGATCCAAGTGGACTGGCTGCCGTCGGCAATCGCTGTTTGGCTCGCAGAAGCACGCTCTTGGGCCGCGTATCCGCATCGTCTCCATCCCAGATCGGCAGCTCCCACCCGCCAACCATGCGCCTCGCCCGCACCATGCACCTCCTCGACAGGATCTCGTTCTTTGTGAGGCCAGATTCCGCCATATTGCTGGGGAATTCGGTCGTTGTAGTCCGTTTGGGGCCACAGGGATATATTGTGACAATCATGAGGATACCGACGACTTTGATGCCGTCATCGTCGGCGAGGCGCCTGGCGACTTCTAAGCTGAGCATGCCGCCGAGACTCCATCCGCCCAAGTAGACCTGGACACGCCCGTCACTTGATTTCCGGATAGGAAAGACTCGCTCTGTTACTGCCGTTCGTATCCACGCGGTATACAACTCCCCGAGACCTGCGAGAGATCCCTCAAACGCCTCTCGGCTGTAAAAGTATGGAATGCTTATGCCATAGATGAACCTGTTGATCAAGTCCATGCAGTGGTATGCAAAAGTTGTGCTGCCTGTTTGTGCACGTGGACATTTTCAAATGGCCCGGTTGCCCAAGACGTCCTGCCCGGTATTGTGCCGCGATGAGGGTCCAGAATAGCCCCGGCAGGCAGCTTTGTCGCAATGTCTGGGAGTCGGAATTGATGCGCACCTGGGATATCGCGTCCAATCCGTGGTGCTTACAGGATGGAGTCTGACATGTCCACTAGGGAACAAGGTGGAACAGTTCTCGTGCAGTCTGTTAAAGAAAGTCTTTCTAGCACGGCGTGTAAGCATACGGATGTCCCCTTCAAGAGACTTGCAATGTGCGAACTAGAAACCAACAGCATAGAGTTCTAAACACTGTGGCAGTCTGGCGAATGGCAAGAACTGAACCATGTCAGGCATTTCAATGAGCCTTCAAAGTTGTCCAGAATGGACCCGAAGCGCTCCCTGGATATGTCAGGGCCAGCAGTTGACCAGCCCAAAAAACATTCATATGCTGTCTGGTGCTAGAACTCCTATGAATGATGCATTTCACCATTTGTACAGGTGCGTCAATCGCTCAGGCTCCGTATGTCCAAGAACGGTGGATTATCAGGATAATCTCCGAGTGATCAAACGCTATCGGCAATTCAGAAGCTGTGACAAACGGCTGTCAAATTCAGCCAGATAGTAATACAGTCTATTGCACTTTTGCACATTCGATTTCAATGTCGAAAGACGTCATCATCACAGACCGGGCGGTTGTGCCAAATACCCCTGCAATCGCCACAGCAAAAGATGCAGCTTCATCACCGACTTCCGCTTCCACTGCTTCAAAACTAGAATTCCATTCTCATGAAACAGTTTGGATGCACCTCTCAGTCTTGCAAGCTCAGCCTCTCCGAGAAGCCAGTGCAAATTATGCACCGTGAGTTTGCTTCCATACTTTGCGCCGTCAAGATCCAGTGTCGCGTACTGAGCACACGATTCCTCTTTACTTGGTAACCACAGCACACATCCACGAGGCCGGACCTCTTTGATTTCATCCCACTTCTTGCAAGGCTGGATGAGTTTTTCCTGCCCCGACCCATTCATTCCGGATTGAAAAACCAGAGCATCGACGGCCCGACGTCGCATCATTCGTAAAAGAACATCACCCATGTCTTGCCTCCAGACTGGGTTTTTGGTGTTTGGCCCTGTGGCCATGCCGGTTCGCGTGGCTAGAAGTAGAGCCGCATTCTTTCTGTTTGGGCCACCAATCCTGTCTATGACTGATTTTCGAGACAGGGCGTAGCTTGTAACTGGACTTCGTCTTGGACGCGTGCTTGAAGCGGCTGCAGAGGCGTGATTGTCGGCGCCCAATGTTTGGGCCTGTGGTACCGCCGTCTCCGAGTCTGCACTCTGGATTTCATCTTTTGGGGGTTTCTCTTCGTACACGAGGTCTTCAAATGCCAGAGGACCCGGAGCCCACCACGGCGAGTCGTCTTGCGGATGCTTGACAAGCTCAAAGTCTTGGAAAAAGTACCTCGGCAAGAAGACTGCAGTATTGGGGCATCGGCGTATCGGAGTCGCGAGAGCTTGGGCTACAGAGTCATGAGATGCAAGTCATCAAGTAAAGCCTCCGAGGGTCGCCTGCTTACCGTACGGATTATTGGCCAACTTCTTCCTAAATCTACCCGTAGGCCTGCTTGGACTGTGCTTTCGTGACCGTCGGCGCGCCTTTATCCAGTCGGGATCAAAGAGGGGAGAAAGTGGTAAATCGCCTGTAGCCGTGGATATAGTCTTTTCCTCCGTGTTTAGAAGCAGAGTAGCATCGCCGTTACCGGCCCTGAGGCCCGATTCGACTTTGTGTTTCAATGCGTCTCTCGTGAGCGCAGACTTGTCGTACGATGCCCATCTCTGCGCCTGGACGCTACAGCCAACAGCTCGCAATGGGCTGGCTCGAAATGGTATGCTCGTTATCATGATGACCAATCTTCAAATGCCAAATATTTGCCTTGGCGCCGTCAGAGGGCCGCCTTCGTCAAGGGCTTTGAGAAGCTCGGTGACTTGGCCAAGAGGAGCCCACCCAGGTGTTTTTTCGGTGGAGAGCTGTCAGAGACGTCCAGAGACTTCAGAGCCATCCCCCACTGTCTTTTGCACCGCCGAGCCCAACAACAATAACATGACACAACAGCGGTAGGCCAACGTCACCATGTTGCGACCACGCGCTTTGCCAGCCATTTGTAGGCTCTCGAAGCCATCTCGTCACGGCAGGCGGTCCTTTGGTTTCTCTAGCAGGGCTGGATCCGAGCCGACGATGGACTACATCCCGATGCCATATATTGAAGAGACGTCGGTAAGCGAGCTTTGGAGAGCCGATCGCATTTCAGGATTTCTGGGCTGACGTGAACAGGCCGCAGGAAGAAAAACATGTTGGTCAAACTCCATGCACCTCATATAAACGCGATCAAAGGGGAGAATACTGATGGGCCGCAGGGGATATCTTTTCAAAGCTCTTGCAGGTTGGGGCCTCCGCTACGCAATGGCGCAAATGCTAAGCTGACATGTTCAGGAACGGATTGTCTGCTTAAATGGCGAAATCAACGATTACATGTCTGCCTCAATCGTTGCCCAGCTCCTATGGCTCGAATCCGATACGCCCGAGAAGCCGATCACCATGTACATCAACTCGCCAGGAGGCTCAGTGACGTCAGGTGCGCTCGCTTAGCAAGGGCTGCTCATGACCAACCTCTGACAAGCACGCTAGGAATGGCCATTTACGATACCATGACATATATCAAATCTCCCGTATCAACCGTTTGTGTGGGCGGCGCTGCCTCGATGGCGGCGATTCTCCTGGCTGGTGGAGAGGCCGGCAAACGATTCGCGTTACCACACAGCTCGATTATGATTCATCAGCCGCTAGGCGGAACTAGAGGCCAAGCATCGGATATTTTGATATACGCAAACCAAATACAGCGCATTCGAGAACAGTCAAACAAGATAATGCAATACCATTTGAATAAGGCCAAGGGTACCGACAAGTACTCGCTGGAAGAGGTCAATGACATGATGGAGAGAGACAAATATCTAAGCGTGGATGAAGCTCTAGATCTGGGAGTCATTGATGGGATTTTGACCAAAAGAACGGACAAGAAAGAGGGAGAAGAAAAGAAGACGGATGGTTGAGTTGGGCTGGTAACAGAGTGCGTCGTTGGCTGGCTGCTCAGCTCAATCATATTCCAACGCTGGAGCCCTGGATTATTGAGAATTGAACCCTGAGATAAATCAATGACTACGCAGTTACAGACTTCTCAAGCCGGGGTAGTGCCGCGCATCAAGGACAGGACTACAAGGTGATTTTGGACTGTCGCCGATGTCGGCGTATTAGCTTCATGCAGTCCTGGATAAAATGGTCTCGCTCGTGACAAATGCATCAAAGGAGATGTAGGTTATAAGGGCCGTGGAATCCCCCAGGTGACACTTGCTGCTAGTATTAGACTGTTGGCGCACGGTGGTAAGTCGGCTTGTGAAAACGATCCAGTTCCAAAGTGCGGCCGTTTTGCAATGGGCTCGCTCCCACGAACTGGAGCTCCCCTGGTGGCCGGACGCGGCAGTGAGAAATCAACCACCAAGATCAGCCAATGACAGAGCGCCAATTACCTATAGTGGATAGTTACCTGCTTGCGACCGCAGCAAGCACCTCGAAGCACCAGCAGCTCGGTCGGCCCGCCAAAGTCACAGGGACAAAAGTCACAGGGACAAGCTAATAAAAATGACTTGACAGTGTTCGCGCCGACACCGCTGACCTGGCTCTTTGCATTCCCTCTTCGATAAATTTCAGGGCAAATTGGCCTTTCTAATCGTCACTGGCAGTAGACAATTGCAATTGGACCGAGGTGGGATTAGTTACTTTGACAAAAATTGTCCAACTGTTTTTTTTTTTTTTTAATCCAACCGCTACCGAGTCATCCGTCTGCCTTTGTCAACACCAGACTAGCTAGGATGCTGTCTGCGATGCGGCAACGGCCTGTTGGCCTGGTCTCGCTGGCGAGAGCTAGCTTCACACCGTCAAAGAGCCATGGGTATGCTCAATGCCCTCAGTATCCTGCCCCCGACTATTCAAACCAATCGGACGCCTCAATCGCTAACACAATCTGCAACCATGTAGCCGCTGCTTCCTGTCTACCACAATGTCTCGCCAGGCGGACGACAAGCTTAACAGAGTCTCATCATCCATTACACAACCCAAGTCGCAAGGTGCATCGCAGGCTATGCTGTACGCCACCGGTCTCTCAGAAGATGATATGAACAAGGCTCAGGTTGGCATCTCGTCCGTCTGGTACGAGGGCAACCCTTGCAACATGCACCTGATGGACCTGTCAAAAATCGTAAAGGAGTCTGTTGCCAAGGCGGGCTTGATTCCTTACCGGTTCAACACTATCGGCGTCAGTGACGGTATATCAATGGGCACAACTGGCATGCGGTACTCTCTTCAGAGCCGAGAAATCATCGCCGACAGTATAGAGACTGTCATGAACGGCCAATGGTACGATGCCAACATCAGCTTGCCTGGCTGCGACAAGAACATGCCTGGTGTTGCCATTGCCTTTGGACGTGTAAACCGCCCAAGCATCATGGTTTATGGCGGTACCATCAAACCGGGCTGTGGCCAGTCCGGCGAATCCCTGGACATTGTGTCAGCTTTCCAGGCATACGGACAGTACATTACTGGTGAGATTACGGAAGAGCAGCGCTTCGACATTATCCGCCACGCGTGCCCGGGCAGCGGTGCCTGTGGTGGCATGTATACCGCCAACACCATGGCCACTGCCCTCGAAACCATTGGTCTTAGTCTCCCTGGCAGCAGCAGCAATCCTGCCGAGGACCCCAGTAAAATTGCCGAGTGCCAGAGCGTCGGAGAGGCCATCAAGACCCTTTTGAAGGAGGATATCCGACCCCGCGACATCATGACCCGCCAGGCTTTTGAGAATGCCATGACGGTCGTTTCCATTCTTGGTGGCAGCACCAACGCCGTGCTCCACCTTATTGCCATTGCCGACTCTGTTGGCATCAAGTTGACCATTGATGACTTCCAGAGCGTCTCTGACCGCGTTCCCCTGCTGGCCGATCTCAGACCCTCGGGTAAGTTCGTGATGGAGGACGTCCACAAGATTGGCGGCACGCCCAGTCTGCTCAAGTTCCTTTTAAAGGAGGGCCTTCTCGACGGCTCCGGCATCACCGTTACCGGCAAGACCATGAAACAGAACATGGAGAACGTTCCCGACTTCCCCTCTGACCAACAGATCATCCGCCCACTGAGCAACCCCATCAAGCCTACCGGCCACATCCAGATCCTCCGCGGATCTCTCGCACCTGGAGGTTGTGTGGGCAAGATTACAGGAAAGGAAGGTCTCCGGTTCACAGGCAAGGCCAAGGTCTACGACTCGGAGAGCGATATGATTGCCAGTCTGGAGAGGGGCGAGATCAAAAAGGGCGAAAAATCTGTCGTCATTATCCGCTATGACGGTCCTAAAGGTGGCCCTGGTATGCCGGAAATGCTAAAGCCCTCGTCTGCCATCATGGGTGCCGGTCTTGGCAAGGATGTTGCCCTCTTGACTGATGGTCGCTACTCTGGTGGCTCTCATGGCTTCATCATTGGCCATATCGTCCCCGAGGCCATTGTTGGTGGTCCCATTGCACTTGTAGAGAATGGCGATGAGATTGTCATTGATGCCGAAAAGCAGATCATTGATCTCAATGTCCCAGAGGCTGAGATGGAAGCTCGACGGAAGGCATGGAAAGCACCCGCTCCTAGATATACCAAGGGTACCTTGAAGAAGTACGCAGCTCTGGTCAGCGACGCAAGCGCAGGGTGTGTCACGGATGGTTCTATTCACTAAGCAGTCGATTCTTCATATGTGAGCTGGTTGGGCTGAGAGGATTTTTTTTCGTCTTGGATTTATTGCTTCCTGGCGCTTTAAAAGGGGTTCTGTTGCCAATAGGGAATAGGGAATGCTTTCCCGGGCATCGCCAAAATTTGTAGCTACTGTAGTGAAGAAATAATGGCCATTAGGCCAGGTGATGTTCACTGTTGACAAAGGAAAATCTTGAAAGATCTGGACAATGAAAGAAATAAAATGCAAATGAAGCGACTGTGAAATTTAGGGGTTTCCCCAATATATCTAGACACCTAGGCAACACAATTCAAATGAGAAATTTCAGTTCCATGCTCCTTGCAATGCAACGCCAAATCTCCCAGTTAGACGTATCAAATTCCCTACCCTTTTTCTCCCTCCCCGCACTCCCAAAGCAAGATCGTGGAGGCCAAAAATAGCGCTCTCCGTCAAGGACATCTCATGACTTCTTTTTGCTGTTGTAGACCGTAACAAAAGCATCCTTGTCCTTCATGGTCAAGCCGACACGCTTGACTCTGCTCAGTCTGGCAAGGGCTTCTCCGACACGATCGAGGACCCTTTGCTCCTCTGCTGATATGTCTGGAGAGCCATCTTTTCTGTACCGCAGCTCACTGGTACCGTTGGAGGCATTGGCATTGCTGTGCGTAGGAGCAGCAGTGTTCATTTGGCTCTCCGCAATGCGGACCCGAATACAAATTGTAGGTCGCGAAAGCAGGTTCCACAGGAATCCGAGCCACAGTCCAGGCAGGGGAGTTGTGACATCTGGGGGGGTATATCGTAGGCTGACGGGGAAAATGGCGACATCAGAAGGGGCATCGACCAAGGAGGGGCTGAACGGCAGAATAGCCTTGCCATTGCTAGTGCCGCATTCTGGGAACACAGCAATCACGCGGTCGGGATAGGCTTTCAACAAGTCCTCGATGTGGACCAGTTTCACATTCGAGGGAGGTGTCACTTTGACCGGACTAAGCGCTTGCATGATTGCGCCAAACAAGCTGACATGCTGCACTCGTCTCTCCCCGGGGTATGATACGGTAAAGATGGGATCGAAGATGGCGGCGAGATACACGGCATCGATGGGGCTGGTAAAGTTGGCGGCAATGATGGAGCCTGGGTGAGGAAAACGATGCAGAGGTTGGCCCGATAGGGTTCCTCGTTTGACACCGTCCAGCTGCAAATCTACCCACCAGATGCCCGGGATGGCCATCAGACCCCATAGTGCCATCTTGCGCGCGACAACGGGCAGCGGCAGGTGGTGGAAGAGCACGAAGTAGCTGACGGCATAGGCGATGAAGAAGGGGAGTCGAAATGTAAAGAGTACGGCGTGCGTTGCCAACGAGACGACAGATAGAGGCGTGGCTACCGGGAGGAACGGCGAGATGCCCGTCGCTAGCAAACGTTGGTGTGGTTAGCTCATGAGACAGCTCATGCGACAGGATGGAGTACATCAAAGAAGCCCTCTACATTGATGATGCAGTTTTGGTTCTTACCTCGATCCCGGAACTGGCTATACTTTTCCATCTTGGCGATACTTGGCTGGACGCGCTCCAGCCGAGTCGTACGGTGCAGTGTAGAATAAGATCGATAGGCAGCCCCGTGAATTTCACCAGGGAACCGCTTTGGCCAATATGCACGGAGCAGCCTCGAGTAGCTGATGAGCCGTGGATGGAACAAAGGAATGGCAAAGTCGACGAGGAAAGATCTGGCACTCCCTCGAACGACCCTGGAGTATTGGCAATTCAGAGGGTGGAGCAATTTATCTATTGCAAATGATGGGATGTGCGGACTTGGTTTGGTTGGGTCAACCGGATCGACTTGGCTCGCCGTGGAGGGTGGGAACAATCAATGTTTCGCTGAGAACGACATTTTTTGGGCGTTGCAAACTTGGAGGCATGTGAATGTTGGCGTTGCGGCGCAAGAGAGTTGTCATTTTGGCAGCTCTGTTGGCGCTGTGGCTGAGCAAGGAGAGAGAGACACTCGTGTGGCGGCTTCGACGAAGGTTGCCCCCCGCAACCCCGATAAACAACGCCACAAAACGATTATCTACGAGCGGACACGCTCAGCATGCTGACCACCAGTTACTCCACCAGTACAAGACCGACCGGCCAAGAAGAGCCCATGCGGGTTAGCCAAATAGTGTTTCGAAGCAATAGCGCACTTTGGCACTTGGTTTCTTTTGTATGATCATAATCATCCCAACTTTGAGCACTCGTCAAACAAACCACTTGCCAGCACTCTCTTTGCGACAAGTCGACTCCGAGTACGGATCGAAGGAGCACGGCTCTCACCCTCGCCCGCTTGATTGTTCGTCTCGACATTTAGGTTTTTCTACTTGGCGAACGGGAAATCTGGTTCCGTGGGATATACACCATTCGTCAAAATGGAGACTTCAGATATTCAGGTTCGTTTGCCCCAAGCATGACGGCCATGTCCGATGCGCAGGTACTGACCGCGATTGCTTACTCCCAGTTGCAGCCTTTGCGAGCATCCAAGATCAGCCGTCTGCCAGGTCCAGCGGTTCACGCAGGGCTGGCCGAACTGAGCGAATCGCAACACAATGCTCGCGCGCAGACAGCAATTCCAGCTCCGCCTGGGTTCAAGCCTCATTTGAAAAGAGAGATTCCACAGCCAGGTAAGATGCTGCCAAAGCCTTTGTGCGAGTGATGCGCCTCAGAAGTTAATCGACGGCATGTCACTGCAGCACAACAACCCGATCCGAAGCGCAAGCCTTTGGCCGACCGGGCTGCCGAGTATCCCACGTCCGTTTCTATTTCTACATCTGCTGCTAGTAAACTGGCTATTAAGGGACAAACTTTGCCACAGGTGAGCTTTTAGGACAATTCCCGGGGCTCATCAACACGATTGTCTCCAAAGGAGGGGGTGCTGTCATGCGTACAATTATCCGAAAATCTGACAACTCGACTCAGCTTAAGCGACCGACGCGACACACTACAAACACTGCCGCCCCGACGTCACTGACCAGCTTTGCAAAGAGTTTCGGTCCTGCCCGCCATCAAACTGATCGATCAAACCCAGCAGCCTTCCGATCTAGCCATGCCAGGTCAAAGAGTCAAGCCGCCAGGCCGCGGACGGCACACGGTCATCGGCCAGAAGAACATTTCGAAGACACAACATCCACTAATGGTACGAATTTGAGCCCAATCCGTGACAGCAGCATCCAAAACACGAAACTCAGACACATGAAGTCAAGCCCAGCCTTCACCCGCAACAGAGAAAGTTCTCTCACAGCAAAGTTTCAAAGCTTGAGCATATATGACAATGTCACCTCGGCCGATGGATGTCGAGTGGCATCTAGACATGATGAATCAAGAACGACTTCTTCCTCTGCTCTTTCAATTTCTACCCTCGCGCCGAATATAACAGTCAGAGCGAAGAGGGTGGAGCCGAAAGAAGCTCGCTCAGTTTCGTCGGAGGCTTAGGCAGTCCCCCCCAAGACACCGAGTAAATCGCAAATGATGAAGCAATTGGCCAAGGTGGAAAGTTGCATCTCATCATTCAAAAGCTCTCCAACCAAGTCCCCCTCTCCTCACAAATTTCTCAGGAAAGATTCTAACTTGGCCGCATTTGCAGCATGGGACGTTGACGGCAGAGTTGATAGCATGGAATCGCAGTTTAGGGAGTTGAAAGACATGGTCAACACAACACTTGTGGAACGAAAAGGCCACGAGGATGCCCTTGAACTCGCCAAGACCAGAGGTAAGTCAACCCTTCTGATGCTTATTTGGACATGGGAGCAGTCGTGCTAAACAGGGCTGCTGTAGTCTCGGAGCTTGAAGAGCATCGCCAGAGATTGGAGGAGAGAAACGAAGCCCTGAAAACAGACCTCGACGCGGCTAGAGACGAAAACAGGCAAGCAAAGTACGAGCTAGAGAGACTTCAGTGGCAGCAAAAGCGAGACGTTGAAGACTTGAACAGGCGGCATCGGGACACCATTGATGATCTCTCCAGGCAACACAGGACGGCCATCGAGGATCTCAGCAAAGAATTGGATCAATTAAAAGATGAAGAAACAAAGGAACACCAGGCCAGAATCGATGCGTTGAATCGACACTATCAGCAAGAATTGGAAGACGAGCGCCAAAAGAAAGACCGGGAGATACAGGATCTCAGAGCGCGCATGGGCAATGAACAACAAGACTTGAATCTAGAGCTGCAGCGAAAAGATCGAGAAATCCGAGACGCTCGATTAGAATGCGACAGTTTAAGGGACGACCTCGAGCGTGAGAAGTCACTCAAAGGCAGCCTCCAGACAAACATTACGGAGCTGTCCGCGGCAAACACCACGCTAGAAGCCAAGATCAACTCACTTCGCTCCCACGTAGAATTCCTCGAATCTGATAGCAAGGCGCAATCGGACTCGTTTGCCAGTATGGAAGCGAGGCTGCAAGAGGCTCTTGCTGCGGCCGAGGAAGCCCGTCGAAAGCTCATCAAGGAAGAAACCGAGAGACGGGTTCTCTTCAACAAGTACCAGGAACTCAAGGGCAACATACGCGTCATGTGCCGGGTTCGGCCTGCTATTACCGACGACGCCTCCGCAGAGGCTGGTATTTCGTTCCCCGATGAGAAGACGTCGGCAGAAATTGTCCTGGCAGGACCCGAGGAGAAGAGCAGCCTTGGTGTTGTGTCAAGAAAGAACTATCCTTTTGAGTTTGATCGTGTCTTTGCTCCCGCCGTCCAGAATGAAGAAATCTTTGGAGAAATTTCTCAGCTCGTCCAAAGTGCCTTGGATGGCTACAATGTCTGCATCTTTTGCTATGGCCAAACAGGGTCTGGAAAGACTTACACCATGTCTTCCGAAGATGGCATGATTCCCAGAGCTACGCACATGATATACGACACCATGACAAAACTCAAGGAAAAGTCGTGGGAATACACAATGGAGGGTTCATTTGTGGAAGTCTACAATGAGGAACTAAACGACCTTCTCACTCCCAACGACCGGTCTGCGGACGCAAGGTCAAGAAAGTTGGAGATCCGCCACGATGAAGCCCGCAAGCAGACAACCATTGTCAACTGCAAGACAGTCCAGCTGAACTCTGCGTCCAGCGTGGAGCGAATCCTTGATGAAGCGCAAAAGAACCGATCAGTTGCCGCCACCAAGGCAAACGAACGGTCTTCCCGGTCTCACAGCGTATTCATCCTGAAGCTCGTCGGTGAGAACGTGGCTACCGGTGAGCGGTGCGAAGGCACCTTGAATCTTGTTGACTTGGCTGGATCCGAGCGCTTGAAGCACTCGCAGGCCGAGGGCGATCGGATGAAGGAGACACAGAACATCAATAAGAGCTTGAGCTGTCTCGGTGACGTGATCGAGGCTCTGGGCAGAGGATCTGGTCATATTCCGTACAGAAACTCCAAGCTCACGCACCTGTTGCAGTACAGTTTGGGCGGGAACAGCAAAACACTCATGTTTGTCATGGTTTCACCATTGGAGACGCACCTAAAGGAAACGCTGACAAGCTTGCGCTTTGCTACAAAGGTAAGGATTGCTTGTTCCTCCAGATATCAGGCCCCAACGAGATGCTAATGACAAAACCAGGTGCATAATACCCACATCGGCACTGCCAAAGCAACAAAGAAAATCAGGGGATCCGAGTGAGTGTCAAAAAAGGTCAATTATGAGTGTGCGACTAAAGGGTTACGAAATTAAACGATGTACGCAAGCATAGTCTGGTTAGATTTGTTTTCTGGGCGGAGTTTGGAAAATCTGATTTGGTAGGGTAGCGCGCTTGTGTGGACGCAGATGACTAGAGTTGAACTTGTACAGATGCTCCAGGACTATTAGGTTTACGATGCATATTTTTTGGACTCATTTCGGTTTGTTTGTGAATATAGAGTTGGTAAGTGTGGGTGAGGACTGCTTGTAACCTCTCGACCTTTTGGTGACGTATCGATCGCTGTCGCTACATCACACACGGACTGCTCAGCCGTCGTTGAGGCCGTTGCGCACCTGGCTTGGGAGACAGTAAATGGCCATGTGAAGCTGGGGAATGGCGAGCTTCATCAAAGGCATTCCGTGCGCTCAGGGTAGCTTTGTTCCGCCTTGTTGTGCGGTGTTTGCAAAGACAGGCCGCGGCCGGGCAAGAGCCCACCATCGTCACGAACACGAGTAACCAATTCCTGGCATGAATTTCGCCATTGAGTATACGTGTTGGCAACCAGTGGGCTAGCCGGTTATTCGAATTGAAGCAAATACGGAAATAAAAACATGTCGTGGTGTTGGTGGTGAAGAACTGTGGAGGCAAGCGCGTGCGGTGTGGTTTCCTATTCGTCCACTGGTCAATGTCAGCCGCCTGAACTGGCCATGAACAATGCATGAAACTGACCGCAATCCGCCTCTCTCGCGCTCATATGAACGAACACCATACGAATAGACACCTTAAACTCGTTCCCATTGGAAAAGACGAATATGAATAGCCCCCCAGCCTGACAAAGGTCCACATTGATCTTCACCACTTGGACCTGATGATCACAGTCGACACACACTATTTTCTTCTTTTGCCTCCTTCACTTAGCAAGTTGAGAACTCACTCATCGGCCCGCCACGCCATCACGACTCACCATGGAGGGTGGTCTGCAGACCTCCATGTGGGCGGCGGGAATCCCCTCATCACGCCGGACATACGACCTAGACCGGCACGACACAAGGTCCAGGTCGTTGCCGCCGCCCATGTCCGGCTTCGCAGCGCCCTCAGCAACGTCGACCTCAACGCCCGGCCCACGCACCACCACAACCACCATCACCTGTCCCTCCCGTGTCAAATCCTTCCACCGCTTCGCACAGGCCTACCGCCGGGTGCGTTGGAAATGCATCGACCTCGGGAACTCATATGGTCGTGCCCTGGACCCCGTCGACCGCGAATTTACTGTAGCCGACGCCGAGATCAACTTCAAGATTGATTTCCACGAATTCTACGCGTGGGTCGAGAAGGCTATTGTGCTTTTGCTCCTGGTCTTTGGGACATCTGTGAAGAGGGGCAGCTCGCGATACGCCGGTAACTCGTCATCCCATGAGTACCATCACAATGTGTTGAAGGCGCTCGAGGAGCAAGGAAACCCGCTGTACGGCATACTGGGAAGTGGAGACGTCCGCAAGGCGCTTTCGGAGGCGAAGAGATTGCGCAACAAATGGAAGGATGCATCGGGAGACAAGGAGACGCCGCCTCTGAAGATGTATAATTTGCACTGGATTGTCACCGAGATACTCGAGGGGCTGAAAGAGGCATATCTTTTGGCAGAGAAAGAGGTTGAGGTTGATTTGAATAACGGCGATGGCGACGGCATGGCTGTGGAGTATGAATGGGAGTGGATGGTTGACAGCATGGATTGGGAGGCGTGACGATATTGGCTGGCTTGTCTGGCGTGGAATATTGGATACCGAGTAGTTTATAGACGAGGAGGCAGGTGACGTTGGGGTTTCTGCTTTTTTTTTCTTCTTCTTTTAATGGGCTGGTGGTTATGATCCATCACATACAGATTTATTCAACTACACTCCGATCTAGTTGTACATTAGACAGCGTGTGCAATATCACCACGGGCGCCCGAGGATAATATCAGACGCCCGGTCTGCGACGGCGTAAACAGTCGCCGTTAAATGCCCACTAACCTGCATTGGCAACACGGACGCATCCACCACTCTCACGTTTTTTGTCCCGTACACCTTCAGCTTGGAGTCGACTACGCCGCCAAGTTCCCTGGACATCATGGACGCGGTCCCAATGGCAGGAGAGTTGGAACTGCTCGAGTCTGCGAGGAACTCCTTCCACTGCTCATCCGTGGTCCCCGGTGGCAATACCGTTGCGTTGGGAGCGAATTGGCCCATGATTATTTTCTTCACAGGTGAGCTAGTCCAGAACTCGACACCTACTTTGCCAGACTCAACCTGGGTGGCAAGGTCAAAGTCTATGTAAAAGTACCTGGAGTCAATGACGGGGCTATCAACATCGTCGATGGATCTCATGTGAACGCTGCCTCGACCAAAGGGCATTAGGTCCCAGTATGAAGTGCCAATCTTGTCTCCCTGGGCCGTGGAAAGGATCTCAGCAAGTGTGGCATGCTTGTTGAAGATGACATTGTGCTGAATCTTCAAGATGCGCTCCAGGGCGGAAGCATTTAAGCCGCCGTGGCTGGCCTGCGCGAGCTGCCGAGCCTGTTTGCCAAGTTTTGCCTCGGTATCTTTTGCAACCTTGTCGATGGTGCTGCCGTAAATGTCTGCCGCAGTTACAAACGTACTGTATAGAGTATAGCCTTTGATGTTGATATTGGTGGTGTAGAAGAGGGAGCTGAGTGCTTGGTCGATCATGTTCTCTCCGACTGCTGGTAGATCAACCACGACCTCGATGCCTTTCTGCTTGAGCAGATGAGGGTTCCCGATGCCGGAATGCTCTAGAACAAGAGGTGTTCGCAGTGCTCCTGCTGAGATGATGACTTCTTTCCCGACTTTGGCAGTCCTCCTCTTCCCGTCAGGTCCAAGATATTCCACGCCGGCGGCCTGGGCTCCCGACACTGCATTCGTATTCTTCCAAGGCAATTTGGACACTGTACCATTGAGGTGTTTGAGGTTTTGGCGGCTTTGAATGGGCCAGTAGAATGCAGTGGCAGAATCCCAGCGTTTATTCTCCCTTGGGTCCAGAGTTTGTGGGCAAACGCTGAATCCTTTGGTTGTTCCTCTGTTAACATCTTTGTTCACGCCCTCCTTCATGACGGCCCATGAATCTCTGTGCGTATCGTACAGTGGACCATTTTCAAGAGCTGGGTTGAAGGCTACGTGCAGTTCGCTACTGGTTCCGTGACATCGGGGTTCAATCGACGCCCCGACTTGAATTTGCGCCGGTGCTGGCGGGAAAATCGTTTCGACCTTTTTGTAGTACTCTGGCATTGTGTCCCAGTTCCAGCCGGGATTTCCAAACTGCTCCCATTCATCAAACTGAGCCTTGTCCCCGCGAATATATGTCATGCCTGATTTTCACATCAATAGAAGTTCCAAAAGAAAACAAAAATTGACACGACTCGATTCCAGACTTACCATTGATCAAAACTTGTGCTCCCTATGCCCTTTCCCGCATCAAATGCAATTACACGATTGCTGGCGTTGGCTTGTGGAACTGTTTGGTAGACCAGTTGACCCAATCTGTTGAACTACCCAGATTGTTCAGCCATGTCATTTGGTTTGTGACATTCGGGTTGCTTCGCTGATCGGCACCTGGATCGATGACGGCCACTGAGATGTTGGGATCCTGGGACAATCTGTTTGCCACCACGTTTCCAGCAGTACCTGCACCCACGATCACGTAGTCAAAGTCTGTCACACAATCTGTCGCACAAGCGGGTGGTAATGCCACAGCCGCCAAAAGCTGATCCTGGCATCAATCCGTCCATCTTGAAATGCTGCTCAGCATTCCGCACTTTGGTTTCCTCCAGAGGTTGGTGAGCAGGAAAAGCGGCAGCATGCGTGCCGCAGGCGCTACATGAATACTTGCCTGCATACTATTGAGGTCACGCCATACTACCGCCCCAACTCGCTGTGAGTATGACAGCCCCGTTAGCAGCTCGATGCTCATTTATCGGCCCGGTTGGATGTAAGACGCGGGACATCTGGGGTTGGGCAGGGAATAACGACCGGATGGATGATGAAGAGTGTCAGCATTGTCCATGCTAGTGGACTCAACGTCAACCAAGGCAGTACCGGATATTTCTCGGTGTGTTGCTGCTCGAATAAGATGCGGGAAGAGAAGCTGCCTAGGAATGACTTGTTCTGTGATGTTTGTGAGCCTCCGAGGTTCGGCTTCGCTGCTGAACCTAGGTTGTGTTTGTGCCCTGCTTGCTTGCGGTCCAACTCACGAATCCTTGGGTAGCTCTTGATTGCCGTCAGGCCTGTTTGTCGTCTGCGAAACAGATGTAAGTTACTGCACTGGTTTTCAAGGTCTGGGTCAAATACGTAATTCAGTCGGCTTCGTGACAGGGGGCCAATGGCCCGATTGGCGTCTGGGGGTGTAGATGAGGACATCTGGAGGAGGCCCACCGGACGTTGACCGTTCTAGTTTAGCCTCTGGGGTCATTGTGTTGGCTCCCGATTTCCAGTGCCCCCCCAAAATCTACAACCAGACCCTTCCGAGCCATCGTGGTCAACTTCCACTCGCCATCAATTGATCCTTCACAGACGGCTTCGCATCCATTGATAACCCCAATAGGGATGGCTATGTTTCACGTGCACTATGCTCTTAAGCTTTGACTTCATTTCCGGAAACATCCCATCGTTGGCTCGTCTGAGCTTCGAACGCTTCCGCTGTCAATCAGACTCAATCTCATGGCCGCCTCGGCTGTGGCGCCTTTACGGCGAAGTGCCAGAAACGTGAAGAAGGAAGCTGCCGTGGAAACCAAGATAGATTCCGGCGACAAACGGGCTGCCTCGCATGCAATTAAGCGCAGTGCTTCACAAAATCCCCCAAAGAGGCCAAACGTCAAAAAGGTCAAGGCTGAGCCTGTGTCGCCTTCAGCCAAACACATCTCCATCATCAGCTCTCGGGATTTAGGTATCAAGACGGCGACGGCCAAAGCGGACATACTCAAAGAGCGCAAACTCAAGTCCTTTTCCGCTTTTTCCAAACAATCCCCGTACCCAGACTTTGCACGCCCGACCGCGGAAGAATGCAGGGCTGCTCACAAGATTCTGGCCAAATGCCACGGCGAGCGGATTCGCCCAGAAGAAGTCGTGGCGCCTACCAATGCCGCAGGCTGCGGAGATTCGCCGTCCGTCCTGGATGCCCTGGTGCGCACAATCCTGTCACAGAACACGAGCAACAAGAACAGCACCCGAGCCAAGCTGAGCATGGATGAAGAATATGGCGGTAGCGATAAGTGGGAAGAGATTGCCAACGGTGGCCAAGCGAGGCTGGAGAAGTCGATCCAAACAGGCGGTTTGGCTGCCACCAAGAGCAAGGTCATCATTGGCATTCTGCAGCAAACAAAGGCAAAATACGGCGTCTACTCACTTGACCACTTGTTTGAGGCGTCAGACGAGGATGCCATGAAGGAGATGATTTCCTTTCAGGGGGTAGGGCCGAAAACGGCAAGTTGCGTATTGCTATTCTGCTTGCAACGACCAAGCTTTGCAGTCGACACCCACGTCCACCGCATTACCGGTCTCCTTGGCTGGCGACCAGCTGCTGCCGGCAGAGAAGAAACGCAGGCCCATTTGGATGCGGTGGTTCCCGATGAAGAGAAATACCCTCTGCATGTACTTTTTGTGACCCACGGCAGACAATGCGAAGAGTGCAAGGCCGGTGGTAGGAATGCGAAAATCTGTGAGCTACGGAGAGTCTTTAAAAACGGCCGCTTCACTCCGACGAGTGAGACCATCAAAGACGAGAATGATGGTGACATGAAGAAAGAGGAGGATTAGAACTGGGTGTTGCGGGGTATTCTTGCATTAAAATAATTTTTTCTCAAGACAAGCATTGCTGATCGAGAAGACCAGACAGCCTGGAGGTTATGCTTTTGGGTCATTCATCATGTACAACGCAACAGAGTATGGTGATGGCGTTGAACGTTCCATTTAATCCACCAGACCGGAACGCGTTCAATCTGAGTGATGGAAGAGGGACTTGAAGGGAGTCATTTATAATAGCCCGATGCTATATTTTTCAACTTGTCAACAGGCCCTGACAGACTAATCAACAGGCTAGCCATTGGGACCTCCCGTCTCGAGCCATGATATATTACAAGCCTATATACTGCTCAATGGATGAAGTAGTTTTACTTCATCTCCTGGCCTCGCTTGAAGTCGAGACTTTCCCACTTCGCCATTCTCTGGGAGTTCAAGACTTTTTGTCCTTGGCAGGTTTACTTTTCTGATCAAATAACTCGGAATAGTGCATTTATAGCAAAAAAACAGCTCTACCGGCGATACAAGACGCAGGTATAAAAGACCAGTATTAGCCTCATGATTGTATTTTGAAAAAATAGAGGCTCTTGCCCCCTACCACTATCCTTGCACCGCGTACTGGCAATAGTTACAACGGGGCACCTGGCAATTCAGACAGAAATAGTCCAGATAAACCGAGAACCAGCCACCATAGCAGGAGCATTATTGCGTATTATTATCTGATCTTGAGTGCTGAGGTGGACGATGATACGCACGCATTGCCAAACCTTGTTCACTTTGGCCAATGCCTTTGGGGTTTGCTGATTGGACGGGATTGAGTTGCTGCCAGCAGTTTGGAGCATTTCGTGACCCCCTTCAAGTTCAGTTGTATACATCTCGGCTTCAACGTCCAGCTCGTCGGCTTGGTCCAGCTCGTTATCCACTGTCATCTCGTTATCCTCGTCCACCTCGCTACCATCATCCACCTTGTCATCACACATCTCAACATCGTCGTCTGGATCTTCCCTGTCGCCGGTTTTGGGAAAAGTAAAGAGAGCCAGGTCGACTAGGTGCTTCCCCACATGTCGCTGATACTGTTTGGTTGAATCCAGCGTCTCCCCGCACAACGGGCAATCGGTCTTTGCGTCTAGCGGTTTCATTCGCTCATTTCTTGCAATAATAGCACTCAGACCTCCGGAGCTTGCGATAGCCGAGTGTAGCTGTTGCAAGGTGTTGCCTAAGGGACGCTTCAGAGGACCAACATCCTTCGCATGAGCCTGGGCATCTCCAGGTCTTCCAATGCGTTTGGAGCACGTGATCCATCCATTCGTGACGCCTGCTGTGCTCTTTATCTGCAGTGAGGCAGTTTTTGAATAGGCACATATAAGGCCGGAGGTCGCCCATAACATGTTGTCCGACAAGCTCCATTAGCGATATATTTCTTTCTTTTGGACTAGCCTCCACTGCGCAAAAAAGGCTCACTTCCACTGAAGTCTGTTGGTTACAGATATCAACATGAAGCAAAAAGGACATTGGAAAGGCCCTTTCGTGTACTGTTCTGGAAGAGGCGGGACTCGGAGTTTCTCGGAGTCTGGTGCGGTCGTGGCGTATGATGTCTGGGAGATTGGTCTCCGAGTGGTCGTCCTCGTCTAGTTCACCGAACAATGGCGCCGATTTCCCAACGTCCTTAATAGCCAGAGGCACCGATGACGCAACTGTGCTCTTTTCTCCCGCCTCGGCGCAGCCTTGGTCGAGGTCAAGGCCTTGAGACAACTTGGCATGATGCGACTCGCGATACTTCAAGTACCGCCGCCTCCTGGATATTGCTTCACCTAATCGTCTAACCAAGTCTTGGTTTGCATCCTTGTACTTGGCCCCCGCGCGTCGAACATCGAAATCGCTAAAGTAACTTGCTTCTGCGTACTCGGTCGACACGAAGTGGTCATGCGGCGCCGGATTCCTTATCGACATGGAAAGCCGCAGCAAGGAGTTGATGATATCGGCAATATCTACGGACAGCTGAGCCAGTTCTGAGTCGAACTCAAACTTTTCATCTCCAAGTATTTCTTTCAACTCGGTGTCAATGCCGCAGTCTTCCATGACCTCCTCGTCCCACGGCGTCGCCTTTCCGCTCAATATCGCTTCAACTAAGCAGCTTCAGCATTTTTATTTTTTTTTGCCCTCAGTTTTGCTATTATATGAGCACACCTTCATCTAGTGATGTGGCCAGTTCATCCAGAAGCCTCGCTACTTGCTCTCTGAGACGAGACGAGTCTCGAAGACGATGGTCTAGTGAACTTGGTCCAGTGCGGTGAGCAGCGATATTTCAGACCACAACTTGAACCTCGCGAGCTCGTCATTGACAGCCGTGACGATGCTGTCCTTTCGTTCGTCGAGCTGTGTGTCGCGGTAGTCCGAAGCAATGCCTCTGAAGCCGCCTAAACATTGTGCTACTCGGTCTGCAATCGAGCTTGGCGCCATATGTATTTCACCCGCTCCTCCTGCGTCGACCGTGTTGCGTTATCCTCCTGCGCTATTTTTATGGTCGAGTTGTTTTGAGTGACCAAGATGGACGTTGGGGAGGAAAGAGCGGCCAGCTGTGACTCCATTCCTTGCGCATAAGGGCTCTCTCCGCGTCGAATCATGTCCCCTCGAGCTCACACCTGCTTTGTACGAAGAGCAGTACCCCTCAGTTGTACGACCGACCAATGCCGAGTCGATTCCTTCTTCAACTCTTGTTCAACCCCAGCGCGGTTCCCCTGATGTGAGGCACATACGTGAGTTGTTCTCAGAGCCGTCCTGTCAAGCTTGGTCCTCTCGCCATGTCCGCGTTCGAGGTTGTCGGAGTGGTCCTTGGAACAGTTCCTCGTTATTTCCGCCGTCGAGCACTATGAGCGCGTCGCCCGCACTGTCCAAATACTGCGGCGGCGAGCCAAGGTGATGCATGCATTGGCCCGGTCCCTAAGGACCGAATAGAGGATTCTCGAAAACACCTGCGAAGCGCTCTTAGGGGGCATTGTGCCTGCAGGTTGCGTTAAACCGCTGCTGGCGGAACCTTTTGGCCCTCTTTGGCGAGACGACAAAATCAGTCTAGAGGTCGAACGACGACTCAACTATACCACAGAAGACTTCAAAGATCTCGTGGAAAGCATCAAGAAGGCCTTGCAGGAACTGAGGGTAAAACTGAATCTTGGTTCAGACATGGAGGTTAGTATATGGGGTTCTAAGAATAACATGTACAGGAATATCATGACCTTTCAGCGAGGTTACTAAAAAGAAACGGCATAGGTCAAGGAGGGGAGCGTCGTTGGAAAGCGTGATCTGCTTAAGTTTGCCGCTGTTGCGTTGAACATATCCCAGCACGAAGACGCGGTCAATAAGATGGCAGATACGAACAGAAAATTGGAGATACTCCTGGCAGGCAACCTCCGTGACGAAACCCTCCGGAAACGAACTTCTGGAGGCAAGCTATCCGGTCTCTTGCAAACTGTGACTCGGAGCATATACAACGCTCTGCGACTAAGTCTACCTTGTAGCTGTGCGCAGTCACACAGCGTCCATCTAGGGCTCCAGCCTCCCTGTCCTGCCGGTCATAGGTGGAGACCAAGACGTGGAAAGGGCTGTCAGGAAACTGGACTTTCATGTAGCCTTTGCGAACGAGCCGCGGCGTTTTAGGGACCAGAGTCACAGCAGTACCTGGGCCTGGGAGGAGGTACTTCTGCAGATGTTGGAATGGCCACGGGAGACTAAGAGGGAGCAGCCTGTCCATGTCCGTCCAACCCGAAAGGTAAAAGGATTGAACCTTTCTAAAAAAAAAAAAAAGGTTTGGATTCGCGAAAGATGTAACCCCCTGCTGGCAAGATCTCACCTTGCAGGCCGGTAACCAGGGGAACGGGGAGCGGATTCGGCCCAAAGACGATTTAGCAGGATTTCCTCAGCTTCCCAATCTTTGCGAATCCTTCAGCAGGAAACCGCCGAGTGCAATTTGCGGCTACATTTCGGACGGCTCTGCCAACGCCTCGCCCAAGTTCGGAGTCTACTACCCAAAATCCCCGGATAACAGCGACACTTGCCTGACCGTGTCACTTGGCAGTCTACTTGACCAGAGCCCTAGACCCCCGCCTCTATCTTGGAGACACCGTATAGCAGCCGTCGTGGCGGCCAGCCTGCTTCATTTACACGGCACGCCTTGGATACCCCCCAAGCTCGCTTCTAAAGATGTATACTTTATCCGACGGCATGGGAAAGTGGAATACGACCAGGTTTTTGTGACCACGAAACTCGCGGATAACAGCTCAGCTGTTAACGATGGCGGCTGGGACGATTCGGCCAGCTACGACGGTAACCCGTCTCTGCACGTCTTGGGCGTGTTACTGATGAAGGTCATGCTGTGGAAGTCAATCTACGACTTCTGGGATGATGTCAAGTCCAAATACTCCCACACACCGGCCCATGTGTTTCTCAACATACGGTCAGATGACGGCTTCAGGCGCACCTCGAGTGTCCTGGAGCGTATTGGATTCTCCGGCGTCCAGGCTTACAGAGACGCTGTTGAGAACTCATCCCTCGACGAAGAGGGGTTCCGCGATGCTGTCTATTACTATGTGTCGCGCCGCTGCAGGATGCCGCCCGGATCACAACGGTTCCGATGACCTCGGGCAAGGCAGGTTCGCTTACACGGCTTGAATGAGATGCGAACCCGGGAATGACATTTTATTTTCTAGCGAGCGAGCGGTCAGGAAGAGGCAGACATGATGGCACGAGCCCAGTGGCGGCTGCTGGTGCAGTTTGTCAAGGTCTATGCCTGCTTCCGTGAGTAAGAGTACACTAGGCCGTCTCTTTCTTCTCGCCTGCCCAGGGTGCATCAGTGCGTTTGGGAGTAACTGTTGTGCTTGTCCATGCGAGTGGCCGGGAAGCCCCCGGAAATGACGGCTGATGTGAGCCAGGAGGACAGCTTGATACACCATTCCCTACCCCTCGGGGCATCCATCTGGAAGAGGCGCGTACACTGGTTTATCAGTTCAACTCAACTGGTAGGTACCCGTCGTCGCTGGGTTAAAGACGTACAGCTGGGCCCCTGGGGGCAGTACGTATTGGACCCCGTCGTGTCACTCAACAGTTTCTAGGGTATAACTTGCCAACATCTCATACCGTCACGTCGTCTGCCAAGTTGCACAAAGCAAGCAAACCAAAAAATAAAAGAAAAAGAAATCTAGGGGCTACAGGATGTGCAGTTATAAAATTATGATTCTTGCACAATCGGGAGCAACACATATAGACACATCATGTACTATTGTACGTGGAACTTGTTTGGTTTACACTCCAGCATCATTCTGAAAGCACCAATCTGCATACTTCTCATCGCAATTACCACCTGCCGCCCGTGGTTTATCTGCCCAGTTGCTCATATTTCCGTACCATTTGTTCCAGTTCTGGCAGACACGCTTGGCCTCGACAATGGCAGGGCTTTCGTCTGGCCACTTGGCGAACGCGCCTTTCTGGTCCTCCATTATCTGCATTCCCAGGCCCCTGGAAATATGGAAGGCAATGTGGCAATGTACAAGCCACGGCCCGGGGTTGTCGGCTTTGAACGCAATAACCACGTAGCCGGTGGTATCTAACAAAACGACATCGCGGCGGGGAGGGTTGTCGAGTTTCAAGTTCATCTTCTTTGGATCCCACGGCTTGTTCTCAGCTTGTTCAAGAATGGCAAAGTCATGGCCATGCAGGTGGATCTGCGGTGCGGTCAACGCTTCCATTCATCATGTTTTGGGTCGGCCCAACATACCGGGTGAGCGCCGCTTGTACGGTTCTGTAGGCTATACCAGACGAGGTAGATCTATCAAGTTTGATTGGTCAGTTGGTTAGTTGGGAGGGCAGCTGATTCATGCCGTCTTCTTACCCATTCACTGTTGGCGTAATTCTCCGGCTGAACCCGCCAGAGTTTAGGCCAGGGTTTGGTATCTTGAGGATTGAGATGGAAGAACATTGGGTCGGAGTAATTGATACGAATGGATGCTGGCTTGATGCTGCTATCCATGGTGAAACCTGCGACGGGAGAGTCTGTCCCGATGAGATCTCTGTCGAAATAGACGTCAAACTCCTCACCATAGCGCGGGACCACACCATTCAGAGCCCCGTTGCTTGGAGCTTTGACAGTCCATGGCACGATTGGAATCAAACTATTATATGGCTCATCCGAACACCTCAGTGGAATGCTGGGCCATTTCTTGGTAGAAGGGTCGGCGGTGCTGGATTTATCATAACGCAGGATGGCAACTTCGGAATAACTCGAACAGGTTGGGGCTTTCCTATTGAAACAGTCTGCAATCTCGGTACGGATCCAATAATTCCCGTTCTTGTCGAGTGGACTAGATGTGTTGCGTGGGCTTGCTTCGACGACTACATCGTACCGCTGGCCGATGCCAACTAGGATGGACGACGTTGTGTAGGGTTGGATGGGGACAAAGTCGGCGCTGACCACTTGAAGGAGGTGGTTATCGATGCTGACGACAAAAGTCGTGTCGAAAGACGTGTTGATGACGCGCAAAAGATATTTCTTGCACCCTTGTCCTGCGCGGGGGCTTTCAAACATGATGCTCCTTGCGGGCCTGATGGTGGTTGTATTGGGAGTCTTGCCACAGGAATACTTGGTGATGTTCCCACGGCCGTTGAGCAAAATGTCTTGGCCGCCGTCGCTGCCGCCCGACACCACTTCATATGCAGAATTGTGATACCAGTCAGTCAGTATCAGGGGCGGACTGACGGGCTCGTCCCAGTTATGCGAAGACGGACCGTGGATGGTCAGCGGCCCGACAGCGCCGTCGGCATATTGCACAGAGTAGTGGCTGTGATACCAAGAGCTTCCGTACTGCGTCAGAGAGAAGTTGTATACAAAGTAGTCGGCGGGCGCAGTCGGGCATTGCGTGATGCCATTCACGCCGTCCATATGGGTGGTGTTTAACTGACGGATTCCCTGATGGGAGAGGTCTGGTAAGTTTGAAACCCTATATAATCAATCATGTCACTTACGTGCCAGTGTACCGAGGTGCCATTCTGCTTCAAGCTATTGGTGACGTTTACGATTAACCTTTTTTTTTTTGCCGCTTGTCAGCGCCGGTTCCCAAGTCTCAACCACTCGCCCTAACGACCACGTACCGGTCTCCCCAGCATGCTTCAATCCATGGCCCAGGATACTGGTTATCAAACAGCTTGGCTAGCGAAAAGTTCAACCCATCTGCCGCGGTCCAGCTGTCGACCAAATTAATTTTGTAGTGGCGCTCTACTCCCGTCGGCCAGGTATCCTCGTAGTTGGTATTGATATCAAGCCGCTTCCCGTCGGACTTGCGCCGGAGCCAGCAACTGCGGTCTAGTGGACTGGAACAGGGCTCCCATCCTTTCATATTCGGATACGCGCATTGAAGAGTCGAATCTTTTGAGCTACCAGGCGGCGTGAAGCTGGGGTAATCTAATGCTTGGCTGACGGGAGTCACAGGACTGAGAGGCACCTGTGGCTCGGGTGTGTGACCACTCCACGGCAAAATTGAAAGGGAGAAGATGGTGACAAAGGACGTCACCATTTCATAAATGCGCTTTATCAAGGTCATTGTGGATTCAACAGGACGATTTGATGAGGTCGAACTTGTTGGGAATTGAAGTTGGAGAGAATGGTATTCCGTTGTCCTTGCGCTTTAAATATCTTGATCACTAGGATCCTGGCCACTGACCTCACATGTATAGGCAAAACTCGACCAGTGGCCTTTTTTTTTTCAATTTTCCACCTGCCATCTCGACCACGATATCGACAGACCTGGTTACAGCTTGGCAGTCAGACACATGGAGTCTAATAAACTCCCGACTGATCCGGGCCCAAGACACTTACCTGGGCCCTGGCTTCAATTTGCTGTAAGTACCGTTTGAGCGCTTTCTCCAACGTCGTCCTGAAATCTCCGCAACACGTCTCGTTTGCCTTTGATGGCTTGCGCCCCATCACGGATGCGGTGGGAGGCAGCGACACCAACGCAAGATTGCCTTGACGCCCTCGAAATTAATATTTCGTATGGCGGCGAATAGATTTTGGGAATCAAGTATTTCCCTACACGCTTACTCTTTGAGATGTTATACACCCAAGGATGAACTAATCATCACAAGGTGCGTTACCACAGAGTTGCAGCACCTTCAGCCACACAGCTGCCTGAACCCTTATATAGAGTTTACCTCTGCAACAAGGTCAAGTTGTAATCGCATCGCCTGACGGCACCGGTCATAAATCTGCGCAAGCATACGAACTACGGGGACAACGCTCAGAAAACTTGCCTTATTGTCCATGCCTAACGCCAACATCCGCTTGGCTACAGGGATCAGAACGGGTGACTGGCATAATTGTTAGCGGTTATGTGCTTGATTTAAATAAAATGGGCAGCAAACCAAAATTTCGGTTCACGTATGCACCATCGACGAGAAAGAAAAGAGCTTACCAAGGTGTAGAAGTGTGAATTGACGCGTTCATAATCGATTCGACGGCGAGAATAACGCGGATGATGATGGATTAGGCAACTAGACACATCTATCAAGTAAAAGGACTACGAAAAAGGCCAGAGGATGGTCTGCGTTGCAAGCTCAACAATGACGCGAATGACGATGGATTGGGCAACTAGAAACATCTATTAAGCACGTTGGCTGCCGCCTCAAGCTTACTGCTGCCAGAGGGGATATTTCAGCAGGTGAGCTGACTTCATCTAGCCCATAACTGACTGGGCGGCGTAGGGAATCTAGTTGCTGACAAACTCACAAGTCGGATATTTCATAACTCTAATTTGGGTTCAACCCTGTCCCCAGAGCGCGTGAAGCTTGGTGCAACATACTCAACTCGGCTGTTTGGTGATTCTCCAGTCACATCCGCGGACGTTTTTGCTTCATTGAAGCAACAATTCACAGGTTAACATACAAGGGGAAACAAAAAAATTCATGGGTTAAATATCTCATTTATTAAACTGCCAGAGTTGCTATCATTTTACTGGCTGCCGCACCTTGGCCGTCATGGCGCAAACGACTCACAGCACGTCCATGTTCTCGCCAAGTCCAGCGACGTGCTGAAAGGTTTCTTGTGCCCTTTGGCCATTGCCAGCGATTCTGAACCACTCCGCCACTCGAGACGGGTGAATCCACAACCAGTCCATGACCCTGATAAAGGGCTCTCCGGGCAGTTTGTGGGCTTCCAGAGATATCCCAAACAATTTGCCGTTGTGTTGGGGACACTTTTGTTTCTGGATGCGCTCGACAAAGTCAAAGTCGACCAATGACACCCACACGCTTCCACAGACAGTCTTGTAGCTGCGCATGTCATAAAAGTCCATTTCTTCGGCGCGTTGGCTCTCGCCGGCGGACTCGTCTTCTGGAGCTGGAGCAGCCAGAACTGCGCTGTGGATAAAGCATTGCAAGAGATGCTTGTGAAGTTCTTCATAGTGACGGAAGGTGAATTCTTCATGTTTCTCCTCGTCAAAATTGGTGGGCTGTGCCTGGACGCCGTGGTGAGCAGCAAGTACCTGTGAGACTGTCGACATCAGGTCAATGACGTGGCGCGATTCCCGAAAGGTAATCCCGACGAGCCCTTCACCAACCTGGAGAGAGCCACTGCTCGCGAGGGCCGCGTCGTCCGTCACAAAGGAACCAGACTCGATGGCTGCAGATTTCCAGAGAGCCAAAAGTGTCCACAGCGACCCGTGGGAAGCCATGCGCCTTGTGTAGCCACGCAAGTCGTTGGCTAGTCGCCTCCGAAGTTCGACCCTCTTGGCTTTGGTGTTGACATCTTCAGACTTGGCGTGAAACTTGAAGATATGACCAAGGCCAACCTTGACCAATGCGGCCAGCTGAATCTTGATGACGGCCACCTTGGGGTCGGAACTGGGCAGAGCCGCAAAGAGAGCAAGACGCGGGTCGTAATCAAAGATGGGGAGAAGCTCGTAAAATGCGCTTCGCGCCGCATCGCCAATTTCTGCGCCGCCGCCAAATTCGAACCCCGGCGACACGCGGCATATTCGCATTTGACGCAGCTGCTTCAGGCAGTCATCGCGGAAACCCGAGAAGACGAAGAACATTTCGGCGGCGCACCTGGCAATCGAGGACGAGCGGAATTGTGAATTGGAGAGAGCCGCAAAGAAACCGGCCTGATGCTCGCCGTTTATCTTGGTTCTCCTTTCCGCGTTTTTCGCAATCGGTCGATCGGCTGTGCCCCTGTAGACCGTCACGGCGTTGGCTGGGCAGTCGGATCGGTATGCCCACGATGCCTCTTCCACCTCATCGTATTTGGAGGTGCGCAGGGGTGCCATGACGATTCGTCCGGTCCTGGCGTCCGTGATTCGCTTCTCGATCAGAGGACTGCCGAATACGACTACGCGGTTGAAGCCCTTGAGCTGCACGGGGGCGCGGAATCCATGGGGCAGGCAGATGATCTTCAAAGCAGGCGGGCTGTAATCCGACGTAAAGACATGGTCAAGATCTTCCAGAATCGTGAAGCTGTCAATCTTTTGCACGTCCTTTTTTGGGCCTCGAAGTCTTTCTGCTCTTTCCCAAGGCGGGAAACAGACCACGGCAAGCTTCTGTGGCGCTGCCGAGGCCACGAAAAATGAGCCGGAAACTTGCTGGGCGACACGACCCAGATCTTCGTCCAAGTTTTGGTCAGAGACGACGTATTGGCCCTGGCTTGGAGGACGACACAGTGTCCATGAGGGTACGGGGAGAGGTGCCTGCATCGCCTGCGCCGCGCTGTCCAAAAATGGCCACACGACGCTGTCAGTATCACTACATCCAATGACGAAGATGGATATGGCCTCAAAAGCCAGCGGAAGGGAGCCCCGAGCCGCGGCGTCTGCCCAGCCCAGAAGCTCAACGAGTAAAAGGCAAAACTCTGCGGTTAGCGACTTGTCCTCCTCGACCAGAATCGTCACCTTTGGTGGCAGGATTCCGCCTTGTAGCCACGAATGTCCTCGCTCGTCGGGGGCAATCTCGTCACTCATGGTTTCCGAGTTGATACGCAGAGTCCTCATGAAGCCGTCGTACGAGTCCCTGTAGATGGGGAAACCTCCATTCGGGTGCCTGCCGTCATCTGTGGCATTGAGGTAGCCGATCTCGAGCTGTGTTGATAAATGCACAACCAGAGTGTCGGCTCGCTCTCGAACCAGGGCCTCATTGATGGCTGGCGGAAGCACTCTGGTTTTGCCAGACGCCAGTGGCCCACGAACCACGCCAATGAGCAGAGGAGGGCTCTCGTGTGGAGGTCGCAAAATGTCAAAGGGGTCGAGAGATTCTCGCTTGATGGTCTTGACGACCTCGCCAATGTCTTCTTCCCATTCCGGGGGGATCGTTGTCTGGAGAGACATGATGTTTATTGGCGCAAACAGACTTTGTCAAGATGTCTAAGTTGACAGCATGTTAGACCTGACCTGACGAACTGAGCTGAGCCGCGTGTTATTTGACTTACATGGTTGCTTGTGAAATGCAATTGTGTAGAGAAGGAAGCTTAATGAGTGTCGACGCGTCATGGAGGGTTTTTTTTAAAAAAAGAGGGAAGAGGGGGAAGGGGAATGGGGAAAGCAAAAAAAAAATAAATAAATAAATAAATAAATAAAATAAAAATCAGACTTCACAGCTGGCGCCAGCTGCTAGTAGTCGTTTGTCAAGGACAACAGGCTCATTGTTGTTCAGAGGTGGCAACACACAGCACTACAAGATGAGAGGCATTTCTGGATCAGCGATTGGATGGATATATCAACTCACCGCACTCTTGTAGGCCCTGAGCAATGCGTTGAATGTCCAGAACAATCAGGGCCGGAGCTAGGTTCACCTGATATATAACATGTGTTGTGTGCACAATCTACGACGGACGGTGAAGGCAAAAGTTAAGTTGTATTGGAAATAAAAATATTATTACATAACATTACGAGATATAATGTGATGTATAATATATTAAAAATATGTTAAGATATACTGGGATACATCACAGGACATATTATCGGACATCACCGGGTCACAAAGTACGATAAGACGTTCAGAGTATGTCAACCACAAGTTTTTATTTTAATGTAGTTTGACTAACCGAAATCCCACCCTGCCGCCTTTTCCTCCGCCATGGCATGCCGCCGTTTACATTTGCCTGGCCAGGTTCTGCAGCAGCGCGCGAACCTCGACAATCCAGAAGGTAATGGCATCCTCCTGGAGGTTCTTGGCAGCAGCTCGCCAAACTGTAGCCGCCAGGTTGATGCGGTCGGCAAGAGTGAGCTTGGAGTTGGATACCATGACCCAATTGCTCAAGGCAGTCTTGGTTGCCTGCACGGTGGCATTTTGCCCAAGGATGGCGGTAACCTCCTTCTTGGCAGCCTCGCTCGGCGCGGGCGTTTCGGCGGCAGGCCCCTCGGCGGTGGGCGGCGGGTTGCTGCTTCGGGCAGCCAACCGTTGTTCGTATTTGACAGACAGACCCGTATCAGGAATGTCGCCCAGCTGGATCTTGGCCCAGGGAAAGGCCGGACGCTTGTCTTCGGCCAGTTGCTTGACTATAACGAGAAATGAGTCAGGACGGCCAGGAGACAGATTATAGTCACAATGATGAAGCACTTACGAAATACCAGCCAGACGTATTTATCGACAAGGAATTCCACTCTTTCGTGTATTACTTCCTTGTGCCCTTGGTTGAAAAAACGCTGGAAGCCAACCTCTTCGCCCTTGCTACGGATATCCTCAAGGGACTTCTCCGGCTCCGGCACGAGGTAACGGCAATAAGCGTCCATCTTGGGCCGTCTTTCTGCTGTTTGATGCCCGGCAACGGCATCAAGGTCGTCGTCAAATGGGAGGTTGTTGGCCGGGCGGCACTCCTTCCATGACTGGGGTTGTGAAGCCATCTTGTTAGACATGAATGTACGCGATTTTGGTTGTTTCGTTGCGTTGTCTTTGTCGAAGGCTTCTTGTTTGTTTTCGCAAAGTTGAAATTTTGCGGTGTGAAAAGAGGAATCTGTAAACAACTCCGAGTTCTGCCAGCTGGAAATTTACAAGCGACAGCTGGCGCCACGCCGGCCGACAACTCACCATGGCATCCCATCAGCTTCACAACGGACGTGGCAGAGGACCAATCCTACCAGTAAGAGGCTTTGCTAGACATGACAGACTCACACTAGAGTTAGGAATAGAAGCCGTAATTCCCACTCTAATACGATTCTTTAGTGAATGAATCCTCCAAGTATAGTTGCAACCTTTTATTTTATATTGTTTTTGACCTGGCTTCTTGCCCAAGCCTGACAACCAAAAATCAATAGTGTCCAGCCCCAAGCTTGTGAATCGTTCATTGAACCCCGAGCAATCTACTGTGAATCAGTGTACCTTTGGTAGGCCAGTAGCGTGGTCTGTGTAGTGCATGTCTGTGAATACCTTAATGATGTTGACCGCCACCGGCGCCTGTCAGCTGCTGGCACCTAGGCACACACACTCGTTTGACATTTCCTTTGCTCACATGTCTCTATCTCTGTGTGTGTGTGTTCCTCTTCTCCTCTTCTTCATCATCCATCCGAGACTTTACGCAAATTCCATCACGCACGCTACCAAAATGAATTCCACGCCTCGTGATGAGAACGTCCTCACGGACATTCGAACTTGTCAAGAGATTGTCGCCAAGTCCCACAATGACAAAATCGCGGCTATATGCCGAATTTTGCAGGGATGTGCAATGCCAGATACCAGTGGCATGGCCCAAAGTTTGTTCGAAAACGGACTGGACTGTCTGACCCTAGTCTGCCGGACCAATCTCAGTCGATACGTCAGTCATAGCTTCAATCCGAGCCCCGTTGAGCAGGCAGACCAAGAGAAAAATCCAGTTCTCCCATTCTTGTGGTCATCTCTCAACCTCGTCAAACACCCAGACGATGAGCACCACCGACTGGAGGCACTGGAAATCCTGTCCAACGCAAAACAGGATATTCTCAGACGCATCATTGCTCTGGGGCTTCTGGATTCGAAAAACCTAGACTTCCTCTCCCTGAATGATAGCGATATCATGAACGAGACCCTTTGGTCACAACCTCAGTTCAGGCTGTACGACACAGTTATCCGACGCGAACAAGGCGAGCGGGAGTGGCATCTCGTGCCCAGGCCAGGCCGACGCGAGCAAGGCCAACGTAGTCTTTTGTCGTTGTGTGCGGCAGAAGATCCACATCAGCCATTGCAAGAGTTCATCGATAGCAACATTGGCCCCCGAGATTGTGAAGATGGCTCCCAGGAGATATGGATGTCAGACAAGCCACGCATCGTCCGCATCCAGTACGAACCCTGTGCAAATGCACCCGCCAATTTTCAAGAGCTTCGACGATTCGACATGCCCATTTACAATTGTAAAGAGGCAGTTGCCTGGGCCAATATCCGTCCCGACATCCTAAAGGCTCATGTCTCCTGGCATTACGAGCTGGGGTCGGTTGTCAAAGTCGGCGCAACCGCTCGCCACAACAGCTATGTCCGGACGTATTCCCAAGGTGGTGGGCATAGGCGACTCGATGCCCGTGGCACGAAAACCGTCAATAATCTCTGGAAGCTGGACGGTGCAACCTCGGGTGTCTATCTCTTGGTATATCACTGGACTGCTCATGAGCAATCACAGATCTATTCTGCCGAGGTGCAGCCAAAGTACGGTTCAGACCGGATTACCGGCGCCGATGGCGTTGAATTGATCAATGGCTTTTTAAACAAGCTTGATCTTGAAGAGCCGAGCGCTGAAAGCCAGAATGTGGGAGACACAAACACGGCATCATCAGCTCGACCGGCAACCGGCAACCGCAACGTGCCCGTCGACGCCGGTACAGCTCAGCCTGACAATCCTGTGCCTGTTCAGGACCAAGGTGACCCGAGACAGTCACAGCCGGAGCCTGCTCGTCCGTCTGACGCTTCACATCCGTCCCGCAACGTACGAAACGAGACCCAAGAGCAATCTTCCTCTCGACGGGGCACGTCAATCGAGCCCGTACAAACGGGAGCGCTCCAGACACAACAGCTTGCCTTTCGTCCGAGAGATAGCCGTCGACCTAGGAACAGACGCCCTACCCAAGTGGAAGACAATCGCGCGTCGTCGCCAGATCGTCGAGAGCGCTCACATCGTGAGTACCGGAGATCCCGCAGCCGTGACGACACTTCTCAGCGTAGAAGCGAGAGAAGCACAGGGCGAGATCGTAGCCCTCTGGAGTACAACCGACGCCACTCCGGTGATACATGGTCTCCCGGACGCAGAGATCAGAGAGAGGCCGACAGACGCCGTGACTTCCGCCCGCGCTCGCGCTCGCCTCCCCGGCATGAGAGATCCGACGGCCGCTGGCACAGCAGGTCTCCTCGACGTGGAGAGCAGAGAGATGCCGACAGACGCCGCCGGTCACGCTCGCCGCACAACGAGTACCACCAGTCGTCTTACCAAAGCTACAGACCTTCTCCGCCACCCGTCAGCACACAAGGGGGGCGTCGGCGCCCTTCGAGGCGAGAACGGCAGAGACAAAGACGCCGCAATTGAACGGTTTTTATGCTTGTAATGCCTTGGCAGGCGCAATTTCAAACAAAATAAAGTAGCAACGCAAAGACGAACTGAAAAGGAAGTTGTTGGTGAGAGGAAGAAAGGAAAAAAGAGGAAAAGGGGGGAGGATATCAAAGGCGTGAGTCTGCGTCTGCAGACGGGAGTTAATGTCAAAATTCGTTCAAGTATAGAGCATTCAGCTCAAGCTGTCTGATGAATACATATTGCTTCAATACGATTTCACTGAATCCCTTGGCTATTAGTGAGTCCCCAAGCTGCTTTCCAGGCATCAAGTGTCGTTGCCTGAAGGACCCGCGACTTCCTTCCTCGTGATGAATCAATTGACTTTGAATGGGAGCAAGTACGGCAAGTGCTCCTTCTCGATTAAGAGCATCCCCTCACTCTCCAGTAATCCTCCCCTTCCAGCTTCAGAAGACAACTTTCTCTTCCCTCTTTTCTCTCCTTCCCTCCACCGTACCGTAAAAAGCTACACCAGTTCAACCTTGCAGCTCATTCAAACAACCAAACGACACCAACCCCATCGGTATCAAAATGCAGCCCTTTACAATCGGCTCAGGGGACGCTGCCGTAGACCCCAGTCTACTTATAGAGACGGTTGAAACCGTACTTGCCACATCTGGCAATAGGAGTCCGGAGCCCGTGTGCAATTATCTTCGTGATATTGTCCGGGCCTTGCGGATCAAGAATGACGAGTTACAGGCTACAGAGGAACGGCTGTCCCAACAAGCGGCCAACCTCGACAATGACAAGGCCGCCACTGAGGCCCTTGTTACAGACTCGAGTAGTCTCCGGCGCCAAATCGACTCGCTCGCTTCCGTCGGTACTGGCATCAGACAAGCCACCAACGATGTGCGTCAAACACAACAAAGCCTGTCCACGTCCTTGTCGGACAGCACGTCGGCATTATTCGATATCCGTGACGTTGGACAAAGCCTGTCGACAGCTTTATCGGATAGTACATCGGCATTATCCGACATTCGAGACGTCCGACAAAGCCTGTCCACAGCCTTATCGGACAGCACGTCGGTCTTGAATAACGTCCGGCAAGTACAGCAGAGCCTATCCACGTCCTTGACGGATAGCACATCGGCCTTGTCCGGCGTTCGCCAAGTACAACAAAGCCTGTCCACAACCTTGACGGACAGCACGTCGATATTCGCTGACCTACAGAGGTCACAACAAAGCCTGTTCACGGCCATGAGGGACAGCACGTCTGCGCTAACCGATGTACAGAGATCCCAACAAGGCCTATCCACGGTCATGGCTGAGAGCACGTCAGTACTTGCCGACGTACAGAGGTCGCAGCAAAGCCTGTCCACGGCCGTAACGGACAGCACCTCGGCACTCACCGACGTACAAAGGTCACAGCAAGCCTTGTGTACCACCGTAGCAGACAGTATTCAGCATTGGCTGATTTGCAGAGGTCCCAGCAGAGCCTGGACGCGACCGTAACGGACAGCACGTCGGCATTAAACGGCATACAACAAGCACAGCAAAACCTGTCCACGGCAATAACGGACAACACCTCGGCACTAGCCAACGTACAGACGTCACAGCAGGGCTTATCTACGACCGTAGCCGATAGTATATCAGCATTGACCGATATACAGCAAGGCCTATCTACGGCTATAACGGATAACACGTCGGTATTAACTGACGTACAGCAAGCACAGCAAAGCCTATCCACGGTAATAACGGACAACAACTCGGCACTAGCCAACGTACAGACGTCACAGCAGGGCTTATCTACGACCGTAGCCGATAGTATATCAGCATTGACCGATATACAGCAAGGCCTATCTACGGCTATAACGGATAACACGTCGGTATTAACTGACGTACAGCAAGCACAGCAAAGCCTATCAATGGTAATATCGGACAGCACCTCAGTATTAACCGACGTACAGCAAGCGCAGCGAGTCCTGTCCACAACCTTGGCGGACAGCGCATCGACATTAAACCGAAAAGCCGATGCTGCCGCTGGCAAGATTGAGGCTGTCCGACAAAGACTTCGCCAAGTGCCTGGGCAAATCAGCCTTAGCATGGGTGCCTGCTTTGATGATACTAACAGGCTCGTGACGCAGGGTTTCCAGGACATGCCCGCCATGTTGGCCTCGTGTGTCAGTACAGTGTCACAGGCTTTCACGCTTCGTCTCAACGACATTGAGAGGTCCCAGGAAGCTATGCAGCTTCTCATGTCACAGCAACAGCAGGCAACAGCAGACCAAGCCTCGTAACTAGACGCCAAGCAGAGCCGCATCGACCAGCTCGAGGACCAGCTTGGTACCTGCCAACAGGAGGTCGCGGGGTTGACAGCAGAGCTCTCCGCCACGAGACTGCAACTGTCGCGGCGAAAGGCGGTCAATCGTGCCAAGCAGGTGCGCATCGAGCGGCTCGAGGCCGACGTAAACGACGCCGAGACCCGCGGCGAGGATGCCCATCGGCTCGCCTCCCAACTTCGGGACGACATCATCGACATGACGGCCCAGATTGAGCGACTCGAGGCTGCGGTAAGTGACGCCGAAACCCGCCAGCAGGATGCCAATCGGCTAGCATCACGCCTCGAGCATGACGGCCTCGCAAAGAGCTCTCGAATTGAGCAACTCGAGGCCGCGGTGAGCAACGCCAAGGCCCACGAGGAAGATGCCAATCGATTGGCGTCGCGACTGGAACATGACAGCCTCGTCAAGACGTCTCGCATCGAGCAACTCGAGGCCGCAATGGGCGTCAGCGAGGCCCGCCTGGCCACAGCTAACAGTCACAGGACTCGACTCGAACAGCTGCTCCGGGCGACCGACATTGAGAGCTCCGACGCCAGCTCTCGGGCGCTTCAGCTCAGCCAAGAGCTCGCCGACGCCGTGGCCAGATTGGCAGACTCGACCGCGCGTGTGTCGCAGCTCGAATCGACCCTTTGCGGCGCCAACGATGCCACAGCGGCCGCTACCCGCCAAGCCGACGATGCACTACGATCGTCGCACACGCTCGTGGCCAGCCTGGCCAGGGCGGCCCAAGAAATCGAGCAGTTGAAATCGGCGGCAGCCAACTCGCAGACGGTTGAATCCATGGTCGACAGTCTCGCTGATGCGTTTACCTCCAAGATGGAATCCATGGCGGCCACCTCTGCTGCCGAAGCGCAAAGCCTCCGGTCCCAGCTCCAGGCCAAGGAGCGCGAGATGACGCAGCTCACGCAGAGCAATGCTTCCCTGCAGCGTGACGTGGACCAGACGACCAATGCCAATACAGTCCTGAAGCGATCTCTAGACAATATCTCGCGGGACAAGCGGGACGCGGAGGCCAGGGCCGATGCCCTGCAGGCGCAGATCGAGACGGCCCAACGCCAGCTTTCACCTCCAGCGTCTCAGGCGAGGAAGCGCGCTCGATTAGACTCTGGCAACGACACTGGCGGCGACAGCAGCAGCAGTGACGGCTCCAACATAGTCTCCCAATACTACACCAGGCTCGCCGGCGCCTCGCGGAACCTGCGCTTTGCGCAGCGAGTCAGTGAAATCAGATTCGATGACATTGCCATCGACCTGTTCCACGTCCTCTTAGAGGACGGGGGCGCTGCCAATATTCGGGACTTTATGGAGAACGGCCGGATGCACGAATGGTCCTGTTATGTGGACGTTGCCCAGCTCGGCACCCGTTGCCCAGTCAAGCCCGCCGGCCCATGCAGGCATCACGACAACGCATGTCTTCGATTGCGTGTCGTGATAAAGGACGGCCAACGACAGCTGGAATTTTACGAGGAGGACCAGCAACAAGAAGAGGGGGGGAGGGGGGGAGGGGGAGGGGATAGTATAGCTAGAAGCTTATAATAAAATAACTTTCTAGCAACTGCTTCTTTTGCTTTATTCTCGTGACTGTTTTCTTAATATTCCAAGTCTTACTATTACAGCCTGGGCCTAAGCCCGACCTTGAAGCAGCTTGTGGACATTGGCCGTATAGTGTCAATTGAGCATGCTACTAATAGGCAGCCAGTTTAATTCGTACCCTTTTAGCTCCACGATCATCGGCTCGGGTTTGCGCCCGGATATCTGTGCTAACACTCACGATAGTCCGCTGGGCTAGGCTATTACACTAATATACTATACCTAGTCTTAAGCTTATAATTAAGTGCTAGTATATAGTTTATTACCTTATAAGTAGTAGTATTATAATATAACGTGAGCTCTTATAGAGATAGAAACTTAAAATTTATTAAAGTAAAGCTATTAAATATATTTTTTTAAAATACTATTATATTATATAATATATCT